GCAGGCGATGCAAGCTTCGGGCGGGTGCGGAGAGCAAGGACTTGTTTGAAGCTGTACCGTCTTGATAGTTCCCCGTAGCTCGATTTCTTGCCAGACTCGAGATGTCGTCACTAGAAAGACCGTTGACCAACGTACTGGCAGTGTGCTTCCGCCTTAATGAGAGCTTCGATTTCAGTAACAGGAAAGCGAAGCTGCGCGAAAAACAGGCTGTAACATGATGAGGTTGGAGAACATGTTCGTTGGAAATTCCTGGAGGCGGACGTTAGAGCGACTGCAAATGATCCAGGAATCCTTCGGTCTCTGCCTTTCATTCCAATTCACCCTCTGTATCATAACGCAATTCATCAATGCCACCAACACCGAACGTAAACTGTAACAAGCAAGCGTTAACGACCAAGTCTCCATCACTGCCACGTCAGAACTCTTTTGCAAGCATCAAACGTAACTCGATATCATAATGGTTCTCTTCCATCTTTTTCACGTAATCCCGAAATGCTTAATTGTCATCGAAACCACCAATTTGTTCTGTCATTGCACAGTCCGGGTAGAAGCAACTTAAAAGATCGCGTTCCTCGATGTTCTCCTTAACAGATTGTACCTCTTCTCTACGATCCACTACTACTGTGACACTATCCTTCAGTTCTTCTCGAAATTCTTGAAGATTTACATCTTTCCATTTCTTGTTATTCGAACACAGCCATTCTACCGCTGCAAGGATTTTGTTGTTTCTGATTTCTTGTTTCGCGCGCGTACGCTGCGCTGATGTCATGGAACCAGATAATAGAACAAGGATATGATTTTTCAAGCCAATGCCCTCCAAATGCATTCCGGCGCGTGCTACCTGTCTTGGTTGTACACGCATGAATTTCATTGTTCCTTTCAAGTTTCGTTTTGCACAGCACCAAGAATGTAACAGGTACCGCCGGTAGCTCAACCGGGCGGTTATCATGAGCAATTGCAAGCAGGTGTGAGGTTCTCTGTCAAAACAGCTTGGTGCAGGCTGCCCAATGTGGTTGACGGTGCCACTGATGATGCGAAGGCGGGGTGTGCGCTTTCTTATTCAAGGCAGATAGACGGAATCGTTCGCTGAAGAGGCAGTGAGACAACAGACCACTGAGAGCAGCACACACTCCATCACGGAGACACTCTATTGCCGCTTTGTTTACAATATCGGAGAAAGGCCCGGATTCTATTGGCAGCCATTGAAGCACGAGTACTACATTTCTTAGTCATGGAGCTCGCGCACGAGATCGGGAGAGCGTTCTCCTCGACAGCGCGGAATACGTCATTGCTCAATGGCAGTAACAGGCATTCCAGGCTCTAGACGCACAGTGGTTTACACCTGAAAGACTCAGGTTAGGGCGCGATACCCCCGCCCACGAAGGTAAGCGTCTCGCGAGCACGATGCAAGCCGGTACCACAAACCAGGCATACGTAAGGAACATATTTTCATTTTGCATCCACATGAATTAATTCGTAATATCTACTATTGATGCATTACTGTACAGACTGCACTGACGGAAGTACTCCTATCGGACCGTAGTATTCACCATCTTCACCATCTTCCATCGTGGACACATAATACAACGTTTGAATAACGCGTGACACATGAGATAAAAGAGGCCGTTGCCATCAAGACCTTAGCAACGCTTCTTTTCCACAAAACCTGAACTCTATTGACTCACAATTTCAGTAAACAATGTCGTTGAAGTTTCTTTTCATGAAAACTCTATCTCTACAGCAGCGAACCATCATGCTGGCGACAAACACGAAGGGTTCTTTTCTACAAAACCTTAACCTTTCCCATTTCGTACCTTTGTGACGATTGAATGGTCCAGAACGGCAGAACTCGAACTTGCAACGGTTCCGTAATAAAATATCTAGACTCGTGTCCAATTTGGGGGTTGTTCCGTTTCTATATGGACGGCGTGCATCAATTGGTCCGTTTCTATATGGCCGGCGTGCATCTATTGTTCCGTTTCTATATTGCGGGCGTGCATGCTGCCGATAGACTGATAAACAACGCGAATGTCATACTCGTTCAGCACTAAACAAAGCCAAAATTTCGCAATTTATCACAAATCGGTTTCAAGCAAAACTTGAAACCATTCTAAATATCGCTGCAAAGGTAACTGACAATGGCGAACCCTAGACGGCTGACGTTATACCATCGCCAACTGACATTTTCTTTCTCTAATTACATGCTTGCTTGACAGGGAAGCATCATCAAACATTTCGTCGACCAACGCTCTCTTTAGTCCTGATGGAAAGCGCAAGCGAGCTGCCACTTTGACGTCGCCGGGGCGACGTATCTATGATCTGCACAGAGAGAGTTCCGGTGGCTGTTGACCTTGTGCCGCGAAGTGTTTGTCAGAGGAGAGCCTCCTGGTGATTTCGGATTTTGGGCCAGCCAAGTCCTTCTACAATGGAGTTCGCTGTCAAGGCAACGATGGATGGTCCCCAGAAAGGCGAATTGCATGTCCAGAATTGCTATGTGAAAAAGAATCTCACACACCACAGCAAGTTCCTAGCGACCGTCGAGCCTGCCGCGGTGTATGTGCTTCCTCTCTCAGGCACCGGAGATGGTGGCGCGATGGAACCCGTCATGTCGTCTACGGGCTATCAGATGAAGGCATTTCGACATTCTGGGGAGCAGTCTTCGTCTCGTCATTCCACCCCAGATGAGCTCAAGGAATGGTTCAAACAGCTCATGGTCCCTGCTATGAACGAGCTACCACGATACAAACAGAAGAAATACCGGTACGAGTTCGAGGATCCAGTTGTCAAGGATGTTCAATACTGGAGTGACATATTCACCGATGAAGATTGCAACCAGTTCCTCTCGCCTGTGTCTAGATCTCCAAGGATTGTGTGCTGTTTTGAAGGAGGTTTGTTGGAAGACAAGAACAGATGAGCACTTTACATTCGGTTTCTGGCCCGCGGGAAGCGTTCCCAAGGTACATAATCTGAAGAATAGCGGATTGGGCGCAGAAAGCATGCTCGACGCGCGTATTGATTGTCCAGGAACTACAACCGCGTTGGAATCCTCGAAGAAGAGGGCCAAGATTGGCATGCTGTGGCAGTGACGAAGAGGAAGAAAAGAAAGAGGAAGCAAACTAGACTTCTTCTGAAAAGCCTCGCGCAAACAAATCATCCATACGTTACCCAAAACAAGAAAAGGAACTACATCGGGACAAAAATAAAAAAGGATTCAAATCGAAAGGAAATGGTATTTACTCGGTACACGGAATGATACATTCGAAAAATTTAGTAATAACATCGTAACAATTACAACACAAACTTGTCGCCACTTGCTACGTACAAACTCACGAATTCGTCGTCCTCCTTGTAGCCTCATCCGATAAACATTCTCTTCCAACACTGATACAATACTCGTTACGGTTACGGTACCGCGTTACGTGTTACGGTACCCGTTACGGTACCGGTAACGGTGCCGGTAACGGTGCCGTCACTGTTACAGAAACACGGCAACCTGTCATAAGCCAACGAATCTGGAGACGAACGCTGAAAAAAAACCGAATGAAGAGGTTATGAGGTTAGCTAGCTGAGCTGTCAAAGTCATTCGGTCGTTGGAGCCTTTTAAAATCGGCTCCCTTACGGTAAACCAGTATCGGTAGAAGCTACAGTAGAGCTACTGTACGGTATCCAAATAGAAACTGATGATTGATTCATTCCAACAACGGCGACAAATGCCTAAAGACCTAGTTTCAGTGGCAATCGATCCATAGGAAGTGGTTCATCATTCATACGGTACGCCTGCATCCTTTCAATTCCCCTTCAGTTTCCAAGTGCACAATGCCACGGTGCCATCCAGAAAGAATGTGGAGTGAACGTAGGGCTCGGTAAACCAATGCGCCACACATCCGCCTGCAATCACAGTCATGACGGTCTTGATTTGGGCTGGAACATTCAAAAACAAGTCTTTGCAATGGGGCATTGCCGCAAACTCAATCGCGATCAAGACGGCTTGCCACATGAAAAACGCCAAGGACACCCCGTATTTGGGAGTGTAACAATGGCGGGACGAAAAACTTCCAGTGCGACCCCACAAATGACAGCTTCCGTCACTGTCGTCTACATAATGATCCCAACTGGGAGGGAACACTGTGATTTGCAGCCATTCATGAAAGACTCCACTGGCACAAAATGCGGCCATGACTGCCAGCGTTGTGGAAGCAAATTGTCGTTTGACAGGTAGAAACACGCCTCGTTTCAAGCAATCATGAATGAGTCTGTTCCAGCGACGCCCCCAAAACTCGGATGGAGATGTGGACCCAAAGACAGGGTTATCCATGGTTTCTTCGCAGTCAATTCGTGTGACGAATACTTGAATGAACATCATGGATTCTGCAAAGAGTGTCAGGTAGCATTGAAAGAATGCGGCATAGCACACGTTGGCCCACAAATTGGATGGATTAATAATCTGTCTCCAGTCATACCATACTGGATCATCTGGAGATGACGGTTCTGACAATGGAGGAAAGATGTTGGGGAACATTTGGTATATCGATGCCACCACCCCAGCAATGACCATGGACGTATGGAATCGGATCACTCTCTTTCGGATGGATGCGCGGGTGGCACGTTGGTATTGTTGTCGTTTGGTATCGTATGTGGCACGCACAGGACAAGCATAGTAAAATGCAAAGTCGGAAATGGATTTGGTAGCGTGCTGGGGTGAAAAGCCATGGACCGCTGTGTGTGGATAAGAAATACAGTAAGATCAGGCAGAGAAGCAATAATGAATGCCTCCTATACCGGTACCACAAGACCAGCTTGATACGCCACAACATTCATTTTCTTACCCGCTGTGGTCCGAAAAATGGATATTGACGTGACAACGGTTGTCAGCATGAAGCGGATAATCTTGTTTTCAACTCTGAAATAGGACGACGCCATGTAAGGTAAGACCAACCAGAATGGCAATACGACGCCATACGCAACAATGTATGAAGAGCTTGTAAATGCTCTTTTTGGCTTGATGCAGTATTGGTAAAGCACACAACCCACGACGATTGCCAATGCGATAAGGACGACAAAGATCTACGAACGTTCGAAAGAAAGAAAATGAAAGGACGGTTGGATACACAGACATCAAATTACATTTCCACTGTGTACCACAAATAATGCAAGCCAACGTAAATAACCTTACCACCAACAGTTCCAGCCAGAAAGCAACGCTAAAGAAATAGAATTCGACTTCTGGAATAGAGATAGTAGTACCTTCCCAGATCGAGAGTGTGGTTGGCGGCAATGTGAAAAAGGGCATTCGCTCTGGCTCCATGGGAGCCCGCCATGTGTGTGGCAGACTGTCCCATGATGCATCAAAGGCGAAATGCACTCCCATCGTCACTGGTCTCTTTTCTCTATAGCTAGCAACCACAGTACTGGAAGCATTCAGTTCTTGGGGTTGTCACTGTCATTGGACATGTATGTGTGGGTTGCAATGATGGAGCTCGATCTGCCGTATGTCAATTGCGGCACTTCTAACGGGAAAACGCAGAACCGCAAACCCAAACCGCATTTATTTCACGAGTTGTTCGTCACAGGCATTCATTGAAAGCTCAGCAGACATCAGAGGTGCTAAGAAAGAAACCCTAGGTGTTTCGCACTTAGTGTCCTAATAATGGTCTTTTGTCAATGGGGAAAGCGTGACCTCTAATGACATTCTGGAATAAGTGAACAGGCATGACGGTCTTTCCTCTTTTCAGCCACAGCTTCTCGATTTGTGTCTCTTAGAGTCTTTTCAATTTCACTTGCGTTCATGTGGAAAAGACATTTACAATGTTTGTGACCAAGTTTGAACTCCCAAAGTAGGAATTCTTAACTAAATTATTCTTCTTTCCTGTCTGGGTTCTCCCGCTTCTAAGTAATTGCTCTTTTGAAGCAGGCTGAGAGTTAGGCTTTTTGAGAACTTCAGTTGCTCTCCCCAGCAGGTGTGTGCTCCTGGCCACAAAAATTGGATCGGATCTCTGAGATCCCGTTGAACCAGAAGCTGGTGCGCAGTTGGGGTGTGCCTGGTGAGCTGGCTGGTGCCCATTGCGTTCAATCTCCAGGGGAAAGATCTCAAAAAATTTCTTCCCTTCCGAAGTTGCTCAGAAAAAGTTTCCTCTTCAGATACCTTTACTTGCAAATAATAATAATCATCTCTCAACCATGAGCACTACTGTCCCCGTTGATTTGAGAGAGCGCATGGAAGTCCTCTTCTGGCAGGAGACTACCTCCTACAAGGTTGACGACTACCTCAGCGCCTTTCGCAATACAAGGCAGGGGGAGGCTAACGTTGTTGGCGCTACCACCAATGGCCAAAATGAATCATCTTCTACCACCACCACTACTAACATGACGAGCCCTCCCTCCTTTTTTGGTATTGGGGATGAAGTTACATCCCCTGGGGACCAACAAATCAAGGAACACTGGAGGGAAATTATCTGTGAATGGGCCTATAACTGTAAGTGCAAAAGTTGGTGCGGTTAAAGTTATCCTCAGGAAGCCTTGTTACTAATGGATCCATTATCTGTTTCTATTGTTGAACAGTGGTAGATCACTTTGATCTACCCAGGGAACGGGTGAGCGTCTTCACCAACATTCTCGACCGATACCTTCAAAAGTATCTGGTGGAGCATCCAGAGGGGATCACCAAAAAACACTTCCAGCTCTTGTCGTTGACTTGTCTCTACCTGACCATCAAGTTGGATTGCCACCAAGGCTTCCTCTCGATGGAGATGATGATTCACCTCAGCCGAGAAAAGTTCTCCAAGTATCAGATGAGTGCCATGGAAAAGGAGATCCTTAGGTGTTTGGAGTGGAAGCTTCACCCTCCGACACCTAGCATCTTTCTCAGGCACTTTCTACTTTTGCTCCAACCTCAGCACCGAGTCCACCGAGATGTCATCGAGTCTGCTCGTTTCTATATGGAACTTGCGGCGCTAGACTATCAGTCTGTCACGCAGAGGCCCTCGAGGATTGCCTTGGCTGCACTCCTCAACGCCATGGAGCAGGACAGAGCGGTGTCTACCCTCTCCGGTTGTGCTGCGGAGATCCGCGACGGGCACTTCCACTTTCTCTTTTCGCTCATCGATCCAACGGAGCGAGAGACTGTGAATCAATGCCGATGCCGGCTTATGGAACTTTTCCATGGCCTTGCGGCAGATGATGATGACATGGACGTTCTCGATGGAGCTCATGGCGCTGGACGCATGGCTTCTCCAGTCAGCGTTGCTCATGGTCATCCCCTGGCCTAGCTAGGCTTAGAGGTAGGTGCACGGCAGCCAATGGAAACTACCAGGGACTTCCAAACCTCAGAGAATACACACCTTAGGAATCATCAACAACTCATCATTCACACTGAACGATCCAGCCATCCATAAGATCACATCACACGACCATCGCATAGCATCCAAGAATCCCTTCGCTATGCATATACCGACAGTATCTTGACAATTTTGATCGTGCGATCATCACCATTACCAGCTATAATCACAATTCATTAACTTAAATCAATCATTAGAATGGCAACACTGTTCAATCATCAGAGCTTGTGTGGAATTGATTTTAGCTACATTGCAATAAGTAGGGTATCTTCCAATGAATGGGTTGTGTACCGAACAAAGCGAATGTCCGAGTAGCCGATCCGTTTCAATGCATGACCACGAGCGGTGTCCAAGGCTAACTTGCATCGTTTGCCCAAGGCAGCTTTCTCCTCTCGAGTGAACTCCCTTTCGAACTTTTGGGAAGGAACCAACTGCGATGACGAGAACCCCTCAATATCCATTGAAAATGGCTCGGGTGGGAGGGGTGGCAAACTGGCATACTGGACTCCTCCTTCGTCGTTGGTTGCTTCATCAAGGTCAGCACGCTTGACTTTGATGGAAAACCAATGAGTGACCTTCTGTAGCACCTCAAAGTCACGCCTCGAAAAGCCCAGGTATCGGAAGAAATCCATGTTGCTAAATGATACTTCTTCACAACGATGGTGACAACAGGTTGCCACTACAAATGGTGGGGGGGCATGGCATGTATCCACACTAGCGAAGTAGTCAAGGCCTTGAATAGCATAGTCTGCCGCAGCGCCACAGAGGTGTTTTGAAATTGCTATAAAGTTAGTTTTCGTGGCATGGGTATCTTTCAATGAGGGGCTCGTCGTCTTTGTCAATTCGTCAAGCATGACACTCCTAAGGAGATCTTTATCTTGAAGATCAGCAGCAATCCTGACGAATCGGTGACTGGGTTGCAGCCGGTGACGAATCGACCCATCTCGCAACCGTTCAGCTTTGAACGATGAAGCAGCCTTCTTGTCGATCAGAACATGAGAACACTGTCCACCAAGTCTTTCGCTCACATGATCCGACAACTTGGCAGTACCGCACCCCAGTTCAATGAAGCAAGGCACTCCTTGCGAAGACATAATCCCCAGATGCTCCAAGTGACGAAAAATGCTCTCGGTCTGCACCAAATGCTTGGGTGGCGGTGCCTTTTTGACTGCATCACGCTGCTGGGAAAGGTCCACCAAAGGAAGCTCCGAGAGCAGAGTGCCTTTGCAACGCTCCAGTTTCAGGACCAGAACCTGCACTTCTTCTCCCGACACCGTGCTGACACCAGCGCTAGATTTCTCCATGGTGAGGATTGTAGACGACGGCTACATGAGCTGAGGCGGCATCATCATCGTGCTGCTCTCTGCTATGCATGCTGTCTGCATGCCTGCTGTCTCCTGCCGGCTGTCTCGTGCCGGCTGTCTCGTGCAAAGCGAAGCTGGATTGAGGGTTCCAAATAAATTCCAAATCGTTCCGACACTTTCTCTTTCGTCATTTAGCGTCAGAGCCTTTGCCACTTTGCCACTCTATGCTACCGTAGTCAGCTGGTATGGTGCCGGTACCGGTACTATAAATAGCCCATTATTTGATTTGACTGTATTTTAATAGTCTACCGGTATTGCCGCGGCAGAGTCAGACATTGTCACATAGAAAAGAAGCGTCACACTGTTCGAACCAATGAGATGCTCCTCCGTCATAGCATTTTGGAATGGTGTGCTCCGCGTGGCCTCAAAAGTGTTTCGCACCAAAAGGAGATGATGGTCAGTAGCTTTCTGGCCACTTCACTTCACCTTCCTACCCCCAGCAGGAAGCAGCCACATCAAATTGCTGGCCTTTCAAAACGCTTCTGAAATGCACTAAAAAAATCCGTGGATCCGTCGAAGGCCAATGGCATGAGTTCCTCTCTTGGTCGGAAATCGGAAATGAGTTAAAGGTCCAACACGGTTGTCAAATACGGTAGCTCTGAGATGGAGGGTCGAGAGGAAGTCCTTCCTGAAGCTGAAAGAGTTGGAATTGGCTGGACGGAATGGCTGCTCAGCTCCTTGACTAGCTAGGTCGCTAAAGAGCTCGTAGACTGAAGGCTGGACTCTCGACTCCATTCACCTGCAATCACTTTTTTCTCATTTCTTGGCCAATGCTCTTGGTGCTACCAGGTACCTGCTGAGGTGGCGACACGTTAGTCTCCGTCTTCACGTATCTGCCCAGCCAGCCAGGAGCACAAAGTTGCTTTAGAGGAATGGAAAACTTTCCCTTTGGCTGGCTAGCTTTTAGTAGTTTGACATCTGGGTTGATGCACATTCCAACCTCCAGCCACGTAGAGTACCAAGAACCAAGAACTGGCTGGCTGGAAGAGAATAGCTACCAGTTCATACAGCGCGGAGGTGGCAGATCATATGCTACGTCGCTTTGGTTCTAATTGCTGGTAATCCTTCCAAGCAAGACAACCAACAACTGTAGCTATGGGTCCGTCTATGAACTATGATTCAAACAGCGGGCATTGGCTACAACGTATTCACTTATGAACACCAAGACACAAATAGGCAGATGACGATGTGGCAATGTTTGACGAGTAGGCAGCAAAAGAAACAACCATACATGTAGATTCAGTGAGATGAATGGCTGGAATGCAGGTCCTGCTGGTAACGAGATTCTTTCAGATACGATGTACGAAGAGCGACAGTGCCTGTAACCTCCCACAAAAACACATGCGTAATACATGATCTAAAACTACAGTACCATTTGTAAAGACGATCCAACATCCCACCATTGTCTTTCAAACCCTCTTTCCCCAACGCGTCCCGTGCCTAACCTGTACCCGCTTTTAAACACCAGGCTGGTACTGGGATTTTGGCTGACTCGCTGGCTTGTTGTTGGATCTGAATGATGAATCGAATCGAATCGATTAGAACCGAATGAATCGAGTCACAATCGGATGGAATCGAATCAAATCCATTGGAAGGCTGCCCTTGCCTGCGCGTGGGCCTCGCCTGGACTGGTTATTAATCGGTGACTGAATTATTGCGGGACTCGGAAGCACCCACGATCCTGTCGCTCGGAGCACCTCGGACCGCGTTTTGGCGCCGCACACAACTAGATCTTGGCGATAAGCTTCCTAACTGATGCATTACATGATCGCAGGCATGAAGATGGCCCACAGACCTCCTCATGAGTACTTAGGCAACCAGCGATTTGCGGGAGAGCTGATGCCAACCCAAAGTTGTTGTTGGCAGCATCATTATCTCCGAAGATTTCGTTGTTTGGTTGTTGTGATAGTACCGGGGTGATAGCACACTCCAGCAAGAAGCAAGAATCATGCAAAGTCCCTCCATGTTAGGAAAGGACTACGAAGTTATGCGGATTCCCTCGTTGGTGGAGAGTGGATACGAGGTAGTCGACACAGCAACGATGTCGCTTTCGCAGAGAATGATTGCATGTCTCGACAACGACAAGATGTCCGATTTGCACCTCATTGGCGAAGACGGGGTCAAGGTCCCTGCATGCAAGTTTGTTCTAGGCAGTGCTAGTGCGAACCTGCAGACCCTTCTCTACAATGGACAAGAGAAGTCGACTGTAAATGTTCCCAATTGCCGCTCCAAGACTTTGCGGGCTCTTGTGGAATTCTCCTGCTCTGACATGCTGAACACTACTATTTGGAGTGACACCGAACCTGTGGAGATCGTTGAAGACATGATTGCCCTCGCAAAGCTAGCTGAACAATACACCCTGCCAAACTTGAAGCAGCAGGTGTCCGACGTCTTAGCTCCTTGCCTCGAGCAGCTGCCATCGCTTGCATGTGTGGCGTACAACCTGGTGGATTCGAAAACGACTTTGGAGCTCCATGCAGCCTCGTTGGAAGTTCTACGAAAAAAGCCATACCAGGCCTTTGTCAAGGGCCCTGGAGGAGAAATCGGAGGCATCGCCTGCTTGAGCCCAGACAAGCTCGATACCATTTTCCGTGATGATGGAGTCAACGCCGAGGAGATCTTTCTGTTCCAATGCCTACAAGAATGGAAGCTTGCCAACCAGGAAACCTATTCAAACACCAACCAAATCTGTCGTCTGGTTGCACAACATCTGGACTTTTCTGCCATGCATGCTTCAGACATTGAAGACATCGTTTTGCCGTCAGGAATTGTCGACTCTGGCAGTCTTGTTACTGGTCTGATGACCCTTGCCAAGGCCGCAGAGAAGAAGGGCGTCTCGCTACGATCTTCTCGAAGAAAGCAAGCAAGGAGCCAAAAGACTTCTGAGGCCAGTGTTAAATCCGGCGGAACCAAGGGAGGTCGTGGACGTCGGTTCAAGAAACCCGAAACACCATCGGTGGACTCGTATCCGACAGCTTCGTCGTACCATGATGAAACAAGAGACGAGCCAGCCGCGGCCCCAGTTCGGGCTCCGACACCAGAAGTGGTAACAAAGCCACCCCTGCCCCCAACGCCTTCAAGTCACAGCAAGACGATTCGAAGCCTCGGGGTGGCGCTCCGCGGACCGGCCAAAGCGTTCAAGTCAAGGGCCAAGTTCTTGGGAAACTTGACCTCGCTGCGAAGCAACAGTGTAAAGGAGGCTCCATCAGAGGCCGAAACAGCCTCGGTGGTTGCACCAACGAAGTCTCCATCCAAGACAAGTGCACCCGCAGAGGTATCAGTTTCTGATGTTTCAGCAGGAACTGGAACTGAGGATAAGTCTGTTGATGGAGAACAGCGGGTGAAAGAATGCATTTCTTCTGAGTAATATCACGGAGACGGATGCAAAAAACAACTATGGGTGCCTGCCTACCAATAATGCGCAGAATTCACTGGCCGGAGGCTGGCTGCTTCCTTCCTTCCAGTATTTACGCTTCAAGAGAGTCTTGAGTATCCACTTTATGTTTCCTGTTCAGGTCCATGAAAACTACAGGCGCGCTACTCCTACATCCAAACATCAAGCATCGCTCGTCCAGAACGCCATTGACACCTTGGCACCAACCAGTAGCAGTCTAACACATGCATGTAAAACCAAACTTTTATGATAGCTAAGAACCTTGACTAACTGGTAGCTGCAGTCGTGGGCAATGATGCAATTAGCTTCTGGCTACTCCTAGTAGTAGCTAGCAGGCATCGCAGCGCCCAGCCAGCCAATCTAGCTAGCTAGCTTCAGCATTCCGAGTCACCACACACACCACATGGATATGATGATGGGCTTGGATGCAGGATTGTTTCGGTTGAAGAATCGAAGCTGCAGTAGCTATCTCTACTAGAGCGAGCACTCATATTGATCATCCCGACTTGCTTTGGAATCTGTGCGATAACACAATTAGCAACTTAGTTGCGTCGCATTGAATCCGGATCTGTTGTACCACCAGCTGCAGTGGATCAATGGATTCGCTCCCTTTCCGTACCGTACCGTACCGTACCGTACCGTACCGTACCGTACCGTACCGTACCGTACCGTACCGTACCGTACCGTACCGTACCGTACCGTACCGAACCACCAAACACAAAACTGCCGTTGCCAGCGCACTTCGAGCACTTCCGAGTTTCTTTTGCTCCGCGCTCAAATCACAGCAGCCTGATCGAGGCTCAAACTGATTGGAAAAAATATTGAGATCCGTTACCCATGCACCTCTAGCACTGCCGAGTAGAGTCTGGCTGGCTGGTGCTGATGAGGAGCTGGGTCAACTCTCACCAATTGTAGGCTTCCCAAATATCTTTGGCTCGTTCACAAAGCAACAGGGACGGCGCCAAGGCAGCGCCGACGGAGAGACGGAGGCGCCACCCCCGAAACTTTCGGAACAATGGATCCACGAGCGCGAAGTACGTGTACAGCAAATCAATTTTAGGTCGAGGAGGCTCAAACTGGAGCGATTGGACAAGATAATGAGATCCGTTACCCCTGCACCTTGAGCCTTGAGCACTACCGAGTGACAGTCTGGTGCTCATGCACTGCGGGCGGATCTCTGTGGGCTTCTCCGTATCCTATGGCTCGTTCACAAAGCAAGTGTGACGCTTTGGCTAAAGAGACCTGGGGTGGGAGTCACCGCTCCCGAAACTTTCGGAACAAATAAATGGAGCCACGGCACTCTGGTGCATGGAGTAAACTACAGCTTTAACTCTATATGTGTACCTCAACTACTAGCTACGGTAGACACTCCCAAAGCTCTCACAGCTGCTCCAATGCTCCAATTCCTCATCAGACATCCGTAGGCATCGCGATGCCTGGTAGCCTTTTCGTCTGTTTATGGTGACTGGTCACTGGTAAAGAATCGAATCAGCGAACTTTCATTTTGTGTAGCAGTTTAACTTTATTTTAAGAAATACTTCAGCACCGCCAAACCTTCGTGCCGGTAGCAGGACACTGCATCATTTGCTAGTTTGCAGTGGGAGCACTTCAAGTACCGGTACTGAGACATTCCAGGGAATATACACTTGCAACGAAAGCAATTCATGGTGCCTGCCAGCATAAGCCCATATTTCATACTAGTATATGTGCAAAGTGTGCCGTGATAGCTCAAGCGCTGACGAGTGGAGTCAGTCTCTTGGGAGGCCAACCAGAGTACGGGTACTGGCACCAGAAGTCAAAAAGGCAAACAGCAGCTACCGCTACGCTGATTGAATCATTCCTTGCAATTTACAGAGGGCTTACACAAGCATTCGGTGCTAACTAGATAGATACAGTACCAGGTACCAGTACCGGTAATACCGGTACCTCTACAAGGGTACCATGTGAATGATTTGATTCGATGCGATGATTCGATTGATCATTATTGTACTACTGTAGCTAGTACGTCTAGCTATCGCATGGTATCGTACATCGTACATCTCTACGAGAAGGCTAGGAATAACTGTACTATGTCATCTTATTATCAGGGTATCGCACACTAGATCGGCTACAATGTAGCTGTTTTAGGGTTTTGGTAGGATTATGTTTGCACATACGTAGCGCCAGCTATGGGGCCACACAGGCGCCTTCTAGCACCACTTTTACCCTCTCGATACATATGTTCATGGCTGCCTAGCTCTATTCTAGTCTGCAGACACGAAGAGTGAGCATTGTCAGTTAGGCGGCTCCATCATAGCCGCTTGGCGCACAGAGCCTTCAGTAACGATTGAACGTGATTGACCATTTTTTCTTGTTTTCTTCATTTCGCTGGAAAAGATCAAGACAATGACGCCAAATTCGAAGGGAAACAGTGCCGCTGCCACTAGAAACAACGCTTCCAGACAGAATAACAATGGCACTGTTCATGGTAGTAGCCAGAGGACACCAATGCGCAGTGTGACGATGCGTCGATTGCCTCATTCTGGATCAGTTTCTGAAATGACATCAACACCATCAACACAGCAGACAAGCACCACTGGAACTGATGCACCGGCGATCGATCCAGTACAATATGAACAGGAATATGACACTGCTCGCTTCAGAGAGAACACAGGGGATCCAGAATCGGAAGATGAGGGAGAAGGTCCTGGAAATAATTCCATCCTTCGCGAAGTTTCCAATGACAGAAATGAACATCAACAAGAAAACCTGTCGGCACTTCCAGATAACACGGACTATCTTGCATCAAACGAAGATACTATTCCTGCATATGCCCCAGTTCCCTTTGTTGATGGGGCACCGCCAGGTTGGAAGGCACCTGGTCCGCCAGAAGGTTGGAAGATTCCCAAAGCAAAAACTGACAAGGGTGAACCGGCCAGTTTCAACTCAGTTGACAATCCGGGTGGTTGGTCCCCATATGTGTACACTGCGAAATTCAGAAAGCCCGGGGCCAATAAGGAGAAGAAGACTTATGCATATCATTCCCTTCCAACAGGAGCGACGCCGTGTCCCTTGGATGAAGCAACAGGAAAGCGACAAATTGGTGGCTATGAATTCCATTATTCTGGCTGGGAAGGTAGCAAGGAGGAATCATTTCCAAGCTACAGAAACGGAGCAACGAAAGACAACATGTTCCCAGAAGAAAGAAAGGGATGTCTTGATGTTGATAAGCTTGAAAGTCTTGGTCTGAATCAAGAAAGAATGGTTGGTGCGAATGGCTATCCCGACGCCTTTTTCTTTTATCAGTTGCTTCTTCCTATTTGTGATCCAATGAAGTCTGGTGTCCAAAGTGATCCAAGGAAAGGATTTTACCACAACGTTGCGCGTTGGTCCAATCTTTACGCCATGGGAGAACTGGAGCTTGGCAATGGTTACGGTCATGACTTCAAGTGCACAAATCCAGCTGAACTTGTTCGTTGGGATGGAGTTGTCACCATGGATGGTGTACATGGTGGTAGTGGAGGTGCTTTAATGAGACGTTTTGACAAGAGGGAAGGCAATACTGCATACTGTTCGTTTGTTAGTGGCGCCATGACCAAATCAAGATGGTTGGAATTGAAGCGAGTCTACAAGTTGTGCAATAATCTTTCTGTTCCAAAGAAAGGTGAACCAGAGTATGATCCAGCTTACAAGTTTGATTACATCTACGATGTATTGATTCACAACTGCAATGCTGTCACCAAGAGATCTGGACTTGACTTGGCTGCAGATGAGACGTCTTGGGGATTCAGTGGCTGGGGTGAAGTTGGCAGTGGATTGGTTTCTCTCATTATGAATAAACCACACATCCACAAAGGAGGTCAAATTGTCTTAGCTACTGAGGTTGACAGGATTCGGCCAAGAGCATACGTTCATCGGCATAATCTCCACAAGAAGCCTGAGAATTGGCACTGTACAGGTGGTCAACTTGAAGCAAGGAATATCCTGGACCAACTGTATTGCCTCACGGTTGGCTATGAAATGGAGACGGGCTTCACACCTCACAAGATCTTCCTAGACCTTCCACACATTACGTGGGACAACCACTTTTCAGGTGACAATGTTCTTCATTATGCAGGCTCCCGTGGCTTTGGAATGACAATGACTTGTCGCCGTGACAGGCTACCATCCGGTGTACCATCCATGTATCTTCACAAGGAGAAGACAGTTGTTAATCCAAGATCAAAAGCTGCAAGATTTGAGAATCCTATTGTACTCACCAAGGCCATTGCGCAGGATTCCAACATTGTCTTCTGTTCTTTTCAGTCAACTTCCTCCTGTAACATTGCCACTGTCAATGCACTCAATCAATGTGGACTCTATGCACACACAAAGGAACGAGGAAGAGCTTCCAATAAAAGACAATGGGCGATTGAAATGAATGAGGCTAGGGAGTTGTATTTAAAAACGTATGGAGCTGTTGACCGACTGGACCACATGATCCAGAACTGTAATCTATGCTACCGGTAAGATGGTCATTTGTTGATTAGCTGCTGCTTTGATTCCTCCATTATCTCACATTCCCTCCCCTCATTTACAGGTCCTGGAAATACTGGCATGCAGCCATGCTCCATGCAAAGGCAATGGCCATCGTTGTCGCCTATGACATGTATCTGGAATGTGCAGAGGGAAAGCTGAAGGAAGATTGGAAGGTTGCCAAACCTCTCAGCTTCTGGCAATTCAGAGAGCAACTCGGCAAGCAAATGTGCCAATACAATCCTACCCATCGCGCCTACCCAGGAGATGAGAACTTCCGAGTGTCCACAAAGCAGTCTTCCAATGTGCGAAACAAGAAGATGACACCACCAAGATCCACTACCAAGAGGAAGAGACCAAATACACCAAACAGCTCCACAGCTTCAACCCTGACACCACAGGATCTCCGTGACGCAAAGAGTAGATTGTGTGGCCGATTGGATAGCCTTTGCTCTCACATGGCGACAGCAGCAAGATTTCCCAACAACAGAAGCAGAATATGTGTGGTCTGTGGTAAGAGCTGCTCTCATGAATGCAAGAAATGCGACAAGGCTCTCCATTTCGTTCCACCACAGAAGAAAACCAACAAGGAATCAGTGGTTGATGACCAAGTGACTTGCTTCATTCGGTACCATGGCACCTCATTCTTTGGATTGGCAAAGGAAGACTGGGAGATCCGTGGAATCAAGAAGGCACAATGGTCTTTCCCAGACAAGAAGATGCGATCGGAACATGCCATGGCCATGACGGATCTTCACAATGATGCTCTGAAAATCCGAAACGACAATTCTCCTGCCGCCAACTCTCCTGCCGCCGCTGCCGCTGCTACCGCTGCTACCCTCACCGACATGACTTCCACAGTGGCTAACAGAGTGAATGCCAACAAAGATACCACTGATGACAACAGCAGCGATACTGAGAATGATGAGTTTGCTGATTGTCCAAGGCCTGGCTATCGAGCCATGTAGGTTTGTGTTGAATGAATGAATTCCTGACAACATCATCATTGTGATGTTGTCAGAGCCAATCAAGAGATCGGATACTAATGCCTAGGCTGCTGCTGCAACCCATGCCTCCAATTCTGTCCACTTGGCTTCTTGTCTCTCGAGACGTTGTGAGTGTTGTTGTTGGAAGGGCAGCAGTGGTTGTCGGCTGATGAGGATGGCGCTGTGGAGTGGTTGACGATGACGGCCGTTCGGCCGTCGAAATGAGTGGTTGCGAAATGAGTGGTTGTGGACTGTCGAGATGACGAGATGACGAGTGGTTGCCGGCCGACGATGGGGCTGTGGAGTGGTTGACGACGACAACGGCGGCCGTCAACAACAACAACAACAACAGATGAGTCAGTTTGTGTGCTGGTGGCCTCAACAGCAGCAAGACGAGTTGAGTCAGTTTGTGTAGAAATTGTACTGGGTGTGGCTGTAGATGCTGTAGCTGATTAAAGAACAATCTATTGAAACAGCAACCATGTCGCACTATCTGTTTTGGCTATGATGTCTACTGCTCTAGTGTACTGGGTTGCAGCTGTCTACAGCATAGTGGGCTCACTTTTCAGTGGCTACATGGTTGCCGGTACCTGAGGCTCGGTCCTAACAGTCATACTTGAGACGAATACGTACCTGACACAACACCCCACTCGCTGACGTGGATTAGGAATGCACATTCAGGTATGTATGCGTTCCTATCGCCAGCATGCTCCCTGGGTAGACACGCGAATAAAGCACACGAATAAACGCATCCAGCAGATGACCAATTCTGAAATTTTAACATGGGCAATGATGCAATGGCGAGATTTGGATGCTCGCTGCATGATTTAGCGGAGGGTAGCACACTCAAACGAAGTTTGTTGCATAGAGATAACAATGCCACAGCGACAGTCAACTGTCAATGATGTTAATAATGAATGTAGATTAAGTATTAGTTAGCCAATTCGTTAAGCTTTCAGGTGAAGCATCGCTCTTATCCAGATCAGTCTGTTCCATGTAACTCATTATGTCGTTGTAGTGGAGGAGTGAAGAGGAACGCACAATGGCCGATGACAATGACGAGTTTGACAGTGACGAAGCATCCCGCGAAGCCAGGGAACGCTACGCACTTTCACTAGAGCAACGTCGCAAAGAAACCAAAGATTTTCTGGCTTCCTTGAGTAGTGATGATGATGATGCCGAGGACGAAGAGTTGTTCGCTGATCCTCTTGCATTGGCAAGGGCAAGAGTCCATAACCAGCTTCCTCCTGATCAGCTTCTGCAATGCTCCCAGTTATCGCAGCCCCCGCCGGATTACAATGGGGATCCTTCCCAGCGTAGTTTGTCGCAATTCTCGCAACCCTCGCAGTTGTCACAACCCGGTCTTGCTACCTTCTCCCCTCCAGTTGTACCAGCACAAGTCCCAGCGCCGCAGGATCGAAGCTTAACACAAGTTCTCCAGACCGCTCCTCTCACCTTCGTGCCAGTTCTGGATCAAGCTGTCAACCTGCGCAACTGGCAGAACCACATTTTGCAAATGTCAAAGGGAGCAATGCCATTGCCTCCAGGTCAATTGGACATGCTGCAAGCCTACGAAAATCAGCGAGTTGTGACAGCGAATACAGCAGCAGCTGCCAACAATACACTGGATCATTCGAAACAGGCTTCGAAACCGGCAGCAAAAAGAACTGTCCGGCCTACAGCAAACGATGCAGAAGCAGCAGCAGCAGCACCAGCACCAGCAGCCAAAAAAGCTAGATCGCGCAAACCAAAGGTCACCGAAGAAGACAAGAAGAAACAGGCTGAAGAGAAGGAGAAAGAGTTCCTGCAGGTCAATGCTCTTATTAATCAATGGAACAGTGACTATCGAAAGAACATCGAATGTGTAGAGGAAGAAGACACAAGAAGCAAGACAGGAGCAATCCATCAAGTGGCCAAGTACTTCGTAGTTCGCAGAGGAACCACTGAAGAGAAGAAGTATGACATGGCCAGTTGGTCCAATCTACAGCTACGAAACTTCTCTCTGAAATGTCAAATCAAAGGTGGCGGCAACCTCAACATGTTCAATTGCCGAAAGGAGATAGCAATGTGGAAAACTATGGGAACTATGTACAAGGCAACGGACATTCCTTGTCCACAAACCACACTTCAACAGCGACGCCTTAACACTCTCATGCGTCTTATCAACGTCTGTTTCCACAAGAGATTCGTACACAACTTTATTGATCTAAATGATGCAAAGAAGAGGAAGCACTACGAAGAAGCTCACGGTGGCTCTCCCATCAAACACTTCTTTCAGGAAGTGTCCACTTTCATGAACGATCCAAGCAACAATGCAGAGCTCATGGTGTTGATTCCTGACGACTTCGGCCACATTGAACAATTCAAAGAGAATGGAGATTTCAACGTTTCAGATTACAATCAGCAGACTGTGAAGAGTTGCCACCAGCACATGCGAGACCTCATGAAAGCAAGGGAGACATGCATGCAGAAAGGAATGAAAGCATCCGGCAATCATGCATCTGACTTCTGGGACTACGCGACAAACAAAACCTTCACACGTGTTCGCAAGAATGAGGCGCCATTGCCAGCCAAAGCAGTACTGTACGTGAACGTTCGATGTACAGAGTATCCTGCCATTGATGGAAAGTTCGCTTCCATGCTACAAGATTCCTTGAAGTCGGATTCAGATAAGGACATGGAGGGAACAGCCGATTCAGGTGAAAAGAAAACCACCGCCGCGAAAAGGGAGAAGGCCATCATGGAGCGATTCGATACAGTACGTGACGAAATGAAGGAGGAACAGCAAAAGACATACCAGCAACGCCAGCAATACATTGCGATCCGACAACAAGAAATGGAGGAAGAACGTCGCAGCAAGGCTTGGGATGAATACAGGCAGCTTGGCCGTGAGTACAATCTAATGACAGATGCCAACAACCCACTGAATGACCGTTACAGGGAGAACATTGCCGATCGGCTTCGGCAACTCGAAAAGATTCTTGGGATAAAGAAAAAGAAGACCATGGTGATCGAACTCAGCAGCGATTCATCATCAGATGAGGATGTAGCCAACAAGCAGAGCAACAAGAGCGACAACGGCAAGGAATAATGAAAGAACAACAAGAACAAGCAATGAGACTAGTAGTGACATCAAGCTTCGCTGCTACTATTAAGATTGTAGTAGTAAATAATGATAAGAGATCTATTTTGTGTTACCATCGCTGCTGTAGAGGACGGATCAACTAGTTGCTCGCGTGCTTAATACAAGAGCAACATACCATTGAGTAGGGAAGACATTCTGGAACTGACAGATCCGCTCTCGCTGACTGGCTCCCGGAACGTCTCGCTGTAGCGTGACAGCGAAAATAGTGCATAAGACACAAAAAGCAAGGCAAAAATCGAAAACTCACGATGACACAACACAACTACCGCCGCTTCATGTGCTGCCTTTCAACTTGAAGTGCCATGTACTCTCGAAGATGAGAATAGCCACGAACAGTTCCCTGGAAGAGATCGTTCAAGTCAACGGGGTTCCCATCCTCATCATGGGGCACAGTTGGGACATAGCGAGGAATGTTTGGCTCGAAGATTGATTGTTCCCCATCCTTCGCCACACGCTCATTGATGCAGAAGTTGTGGAGTCTTCCAATGGCTTGCATCAACCACTTTAGATTCTTCATTGAGCACGTCAGTGGTCTCTGCAAGATGCCCCACTTCATTTGCATGATACCGAAGGCCATTTCAATCCTAATTCGAAGCTGACTGGCGAAGAAGTTGAAATTGTCGTACTTGGGGACCAGCTTCTCTGCTCCTTGGTAGATGGAAACCAAGTGCTCAGTTGAGCAGTACGCAGCATCTCCAATGACACAAATTCCAAAGGGAAGCTCCTCAATGAGTTCCTGCAGGGAAACTTCTGTAATTGCCTGCTGATCGTCCATCACTCCAGGTCCAGCCACCGCGAAATACTGGAACCTGCACAAGTGGTCTGCCATTCCTTGGACATTTACACCATAACACTGGTAGTGTCCGCTGAAGAAGGAACGCTGATTCTTGACTTCTCGCAGGGAAGGTGTCTTTGTCCTCACAAGGTATCCATCCAACACCCCAGCACAGTTGTTAATTACTCCTTCGTCACTGATTGAAGTAAAACCTACAATGGCGGCTTCTATTTCTCCCACTGTCTTGGGGAAACAGATCTTCAGTTCTGGTGCCTTTGCTATGGCGGTAATGCTCTTCCAGACTACCCTGTAAAACGACGACTTCGAAATACCAGTAATGTCACAGATATCAAGGTATGAACCTCCCGCCATCCATCTTAAGGCGCAATACAAGCACAGTTCTGGAATTATTGAACCACCTCTCAACTTGGCCATTGTCTCGTTCACTAACAGGAACTCGCGTACATAAGACAAAAGCTTGTCAAAGGAGCTTTTATCCATTCTCAATCGAATACGGAAGGTACCACGAGATACGTGCTTTTGACAATAGGTGTCCCAATACAGTCGCTGCTCGAAGAAAGAGGGATTCCTTTCTTCTGGGATCTCTGTGGCTCCCATGTAAGCCAGGAACAACAGCAACTGGGTAAGTTCATCGTCCCTGTCTTCCCAAAGGAAACCATCTAATTCCACTTCCATTATCTCTTATCTATTATACGTGTTGCTGTGGTCCGATGAGGTTACGTGTTGGTTGATTGTTGCTATTTTTTGGTAAAATGTGAGACGAATTTTGGTGGCCAAAAGAACCTTCTTGGCTGGACTGGCAATGAGATCTCATTGGTCTAGAGAGTCATTGCATGTGGATGTAGCGTTTGATACCTGGAGCAACAATCTGCACTGGTTCGAGCTGGAGGTATCAAGCACTCGCAGGTTTTCAGGTGAAGAAGCAGAATGTTGAAGCTGACATTGGCCTATTGTGTACTGGGTATGGCAAAAATCCGGCGTTAGGACCGAGCCTGAGGCCAAGACTAAACGATATACTCCAGAGTACAATGTGATAATGCCAGAAATTCGATGACTCTTTCTGTCCCAGTCATATAAAGTTCTTCCCTTCCGGCAGAAGGCTGATGTCGACCTTGCCCGTTATTCGATATTCCGAGCGGCATGTGAAGTTCTGACGGAGCTTCGCTTGCAGCTTTCGTTCTGTTACAGTGTGGATCCTTGTCGACTCGATTCGACTCTTGTAAAGGACCAACAGAACCCGATCCAAGATTTGCGAATCATTGCAACGTAGAAACAACAGCCGGGAAAACAACTGCTTCTGTGATCCAACAGGAGTTTCGCTGACAGGAGGCCAAATGGCAATCAGGGCGAGAATTCTGCTCTCGTTTTCTTTTTTGGTGACCAACTTTAGAAGAATAGAAGGAGTTTTCCGATGTAACCTCGAGTCTCGACCAGATGATCAGCACTTCTACAGCAACAATACTAACTACTAGCATTCTGCATTGGCAGCTCACATTCTTGTTCCTTGACCCCTTTGCAAGCATCTCCTTTTCATAAAATTCCCAAAGTAACAATGTGTAAGCCTACCAACAACACCACGATGAGAAAGACCCCAAATTCCATGCCCGTTGTCAAGCAGCAGCTACCTGTCGCCACGGACCGCAAAGTAATTCATCATGCTTCTGTTGCCGACGGATACAAGATCCGTTCTCGATTCCTGGATCGTCTCGGGATCTCTCCCTTGAATAGCAATAGACAAAGCAAATGCCGACGAGTTGCTGATTGTTGTGTCTCTCCTTCCTCTTCTTCCGACATGTTGGGTGCACCTCGCCAACAGCAACAGCGACGACGAACCACAAAGCAAGAACTTCTAAAGAAGGACCACGGTCAACCCGATGAAAACTTGGGCCCTGCTTCCTATTCCGAAAGCTCTTTCTCTCCCAAGACACGCGGGTTGTTCCGAAGACTGAGCAACAGCAAGTTGCAGCAAACCAAGACTGTGTCCTTTGCCAATGCCGTCGAGGTCATTTCCATTCCTTCCCATCACTCCTACTCGAATCGCATCAAGAACTCTTTCTGGACCAACTCGGCTGAAATGAAGCAAAACTATGCTCGGAATGTGTTGGAGTTCTCGGCGGAGGGCTGGGATTACCGACAGGTCGTCGAAGAAGATCAATTCTATGTTACGGAACGTGGACGAGAACTTTTCTTGGTCCATCCAGTCCATCTCCTCCTTCAGCAGCAGCAACGAGAACGAAATCTTCGCTGGCACTCCTTCTGCGCCGTCATGTCTGCTCAAAAGCAGCAACATGCCATGCAATACTGATTGTTAAAAGCTGCCTCTAGAGTCTAGATTCCTCGGTCCTAAACATTGTCTAAAAACCTGTACATACAAAGAAAAGAGTACGATACAAGCGCTTTGTTGTTAAACCGACCGTAAGATGTCCACATATTTTCTTTCCACGTACGCTACAGTCTATCGGTACCACCCTTGGTCCCAATGCTCCTTGGAGATGTCGCAGTCAACACAGGAGACTCATTTTGCCTCTGAGATAGCTTCATGTCAAACACTAAGCAATGACATCCACTGGCGCCTTTGAAATGCCTGCAGGAGGGCAAATGGACCACTACTACTGGTACCTAGTTCCTGACTGGACACTACATCGCACCGGCCCTGACATGATTGCTGAAGCAACGTTTTGACTGCAAGCAGCACCTCGGCAAAAGACCTTTCTACCCTCTCTACTAGACCTGTAGCTAGCTGTCATGTCCTGGTACGTGTAGTCTCCGAAACTTGGACTGTAGCGTCCGTTGGACACCCAGTTGAAGCAGTAAACTTTGATGACAGGTATCCATAATCTCAAACGTTGCTTTATATGAATGTTCTATCGTTTGCTGGAAGCAGGCAGCATCCACATCATTGTCTTACTACAGCCCAGCCAACAGAGCATTGCCGTGATGGAGAGTGAAAGTTGGCGGACTGCCTGGAAAGCATCAGGAAGTCAAAGCAAAGTTTGTAATGTATCACTAGTATCTAGCTGGACACATCGACAGCTGAGATCTTCCATGCGTGCCGGTACCGGTTGCGGTAGCTGTGTACTGAGAAGCGGTACCTGGTACTACTAGCTAGTATTCGTACATGTACCGGTACGGTGGCCTTAGGGGTTCACTTTCTCATGCCGACGCGAGGGATAGAGATAACTCTGTGCCTCTCTTTGCACGGCTCAAACTGAACAGGACTGACTGAGGACTCGACTCGACTCCGGCCTTTTGGGGACGGCGGAATGAGTTGAGTTAGTTGTACCGCGTACAGTGTACCGGTATCCTCCGGTACCGGTAAGTAAGTTGTGTACCGGTGCGGTGCGGTGCGGTACCGGTACTCTGACCATGGTGTCCCCTGCCTCGGAAGGGCGATCAATCCCTTTGTAGATGAGCGTTGACCATTGATTTGATTCAGTGCTGTGCCAATTAACTAATTTTATGCATTGGACTACTAGAATGGCGGCAAATCTTTGGGGCTGCTTCAGAAATCTAACTCCTGCTGGACCTGGATGGTAATAAGAAGGACTCCATGCTCCTCGCCCTACCAGTACCTCGTAAGCACGGAAAGAAGCTCATGGAGATAGCTACGTCGCGTATCCTGGCCAGCAGCAACATTGATATAAGGATGGGACATGGGACCACTGAGGAAGGAACCATTACCCCGTCTCAGCCATGTATCGGTTCCAACACCTACTACATGACACTGCACAACAAAAAGTTGCCCATTGCTCCAAGCCCACTGCAGTCACGCCGGTATCGCTGGTATTAAGCAAAATATGGCATATTGGTCCACAGTCTTCTGTCAGGGACTTCAAAAGGCAAAAAAGCGATGATCGATACAGTACTAGTAGTAGCTTCTTGAGACTTGAGACTTGGCTGGGATGGGCTATTTTTATTGCTGCGTTTTGTTTTGTTGCGCGCTTGGGCAAAACCAAAGATCCTTTTGAACAGCCCGGTACATGTCCTAACATGCACCCACAAGCAGTGGTTTGCAATCTTTACCGGTAAGTACCTGGTACAAGCAGAACGATGGTTACGGCTTGATTTGCTTGGCGCGACAACACTCCCTGGCCGAACCCAAAAAATGAACAATTAGGCTCCTCTCACATGCGACAATACCATTGTGGATTGATTAATCTAACGATCTAAGAGATGTAAACTTTGTATTTCCAAATAAGTGAGCAGTTATTGATTATTTTCTAGAATAAGCCTGCTAATGATAAAGCTGGCTGTAAAGCTGAATTGTAAGCGTATCCCGTCGCACTCCCTACAGCTGAAATGAAGCTGGAGCAAGAAACGATAGGAGAGAGTCCCCAGCAAAGTGCTGAGGTAAATTACCATCCCATGAGGAGCTTCCGAATGACAGCAAACTGTGGAGCCGGAAGACCCTTAGTAAAAATGTCGGCCCGTTGTTCCAGAGTTGGAATATACTTAGCACGATCCCTTCGACTCCCCGATATTGACCTGAAGAAGTGGTACTTCAATCCAAATACTTGTTGCGCGCAGACATTTGGAACATTCACAAGAGACAAGCAACCTTGGTTGTCTTTCGAACACTGTAGAGCGCACGAGACTGTCAGTTAATTACCGGCATATTCAGTTTGTCTACCAATTTCTTTGAGCAAAGCTCGCATAGAAGCAAGCTCCCTCATTGACATGCGAAGGCAACATACCAGCAGCAGTGGAGCTCAAAGTAATGTCAGTCTGTAGCTTGCTGGACCAGATAATAGGGACCCAAACAGAGTCAGGAAAATCCAGTGCGAGACTTACGGTACACAGGATCCTGTTCATCCTCATACCCATACAACCGGCGAAGTCAGCATCGACCCAACAGTCAAGTCCCCTGATCAAGTTTAGGGCTAAAACAAATGCCTTTGTCACTTGTGCCAATCAAATACCGGTTGATACGTTTGATTGCTTAGCATGGGAATGCCTGGGATTGTGACTGAATCGTGCACCTGTGTGCACACTAAATGTATGTCTGGGCGAGTGTTCGACGCAATATAAAGAAGCATCCCAACTGCAGCTGGATAGCTCCACTTTCTTCAAATGGGGCCCCCAGTTTGTCAGCTCCGAGAGGATCGGTGGCGGCAGAAGAAAGCTTCTTGCTAGCGTCAGACATACCAGTATATTCGATGACTTAATTGATGAGCCCTTTTTGAGTATAGCTCAACATTGTCTCCCTGTCTTTCAAAATTAATGCCGAGGAATCCAAAATTTCACCTTTTTCTTCCATGTGAGATCATATCCAAGTTCTGGAGCTGCCCACATAGGACTCAATCAGATCATGTCTGGACTGAGCAGATTTGTCATCACAATAATTAATACCATGAGTTGATGCTCCTTATGAATAAACAAACATGGGTCTGCTGCCGAGTTTCGAAACCAAGTTGGATCATCCCCGACATAGATGTCATAAAATAATTTAGGTGAAACGGTCTGCCCATAGATGGATTTGTCAAGTTTCAAAACACAGTCCTGTCCTTCATATCCTTTGGGTCGATAGTACTGAGGCAATTCCATGTACAGTGGCTGGTCGACAGGTTGAGGGCTTTGACAGAAAGCAAGAGTAAAATCAACTTGTCTCGATTCCCATCCATGTGCAGCTGCAAGAAGAGACCGGCTCTAACGGTAGGCCAACCAACAAGTGGAGAGTATGCGACGCCTTCATAGGACTGAAGGTCTCCTCTGCAGCACCATCTAGATTTGAACTTATTTAATTGTCCGTCTGGCAACCTCTTAATTCGTTGCACCCACGTTCCAGGAAACCGCCTTTAAGTGGGAGGGCATAGAAGAGCGCTGTACGATGTGCCAAGTCCCTTTGCCTTCAAGGCTGGCAATTTCTTTGTCCCATTGCTGCCCAGAAAATGATCTGCATGTGGTCCCATCAGAGATTCTTCAGAGAGGGGAGATCAGGGTCTTTGGAAATTTTGGCCTTGAGAGCCAGTGGGCTTTGAAGAATGCCAGGATGAAATGATTCCTGGGTGTTGGTCAAAGGTGAATAACCATTCCACTGAGATTGCATCATGTGCCCAGAAATTTGGAGTAACTCCAAAGGTCAAAGCAAAAGCACAGCTCAACAGGGATGAAGAACGCGCATATGTCTTCAACTTTGGGTCCATGTTCAGAGTCCCAGGCTTATTGTTGTTAGCTGTCCTACTGTGATTCCGACGTTGGGCAGCGACAGGGATTGGCTCGATGTGGACATCAGTGTGGGAGTGATGATGGTGGGGGCTCCCTGTCCCAAGAAAGGTAAATTTTGAGTCTGAGTGGTGGCAGACGATCTGGAATCTCCCTTTGTGACAACCTGGGGCTGTGTGGAGACGGAGCTTTGAAATGAAGATCATCCTTTTTATCTTTGCTCTTGTCATCCTGCCATAATTTTCTCCCATGTCGAAGCTTCTGAAGATGAGATCGGTGTTGGTTGATGGCCTTTCCCTCTGGAGTAAGCCACTGTCTGCTAAGGAGGTGGATGTCCTCATCAAATAGGGTCTCCGAAGCGTTGGAAGATGCACATGTTGGTCACCTAGAGGTGGTTGATCTTCTGAAGAGTAAACTGTCTCAAACCATATCATAGACAAGATGGTACTGAGGGAAAGGTATCCGTTGTAAGGTTGCGGATCAAGCCAATATTTTCTGAATGGACAGTGAGGTGCCAAATATTGTCCTCTTCTGGACCTGGCTGCCATTTTGGAATCTTTCTCCTTCACTGGAAGCCGGGGTTCCAAAAATATGCAGGGCATCCCCATGATGGGCATTTCTGATGATTGACAATCACTGACAGTTTGGAAAATATCTAAATGGGAGCAATGCAGTAACTGAATTGTGAGTGTGTTTGTAAAGGTGAGCTGCATAGAACTGCCAAGGGCCAAAGGATTCATCATCAACTCCGGCCAAGAAGTGCAGCATGATCATCATTGTTCTAGCTTGGTTACTACAATTTAATGGTCCCTCAGAAACCCCATTCTGCCTATTTGGCACCGGTCGCAGATATTTATTGATTGATGTGGTCCTTAAGATGTTGGAAATATGTTGGCTTTTATAAGCCATTGTCGGTGTGATATGATTGACCACAACCCCATGTTCGAGACACATCGTTCGTATGCTTCTTATTGCCATATAGAATCAGAAGCATTTAATGTAACTTGGTGGTGAGCAAAGATGACAGCCGAGTCAGCATCACAAAATATTAGTTCCACAGAATTTAGCTATCTTGTTCCCTTCGGCAGTGTGAACAATCTCCTCTGACTCTTTCCATTGATCACTAAAGGTTGTCATACCCCGCTCCAATTGTTCTTTCTTAGGCTCCCTGTTGTCTGGAAGCTCTCTTGGTGACATTGGTGTGATCATGTTTCCTGTCTTGTTTTCCATATTGACAAGCGGCCATTTAGGATGATCCCCGCCTTGCTTCTAAGCAAACGAGACCCTTTTTGTCTAAAAACCACCCAACCCAAGATATTGACATGGAGAAGGACAATGTCCAACTTGTAATGCATTGCAGCCAGATTTTGTCAAAAATAGAAAGTTTCCTGTTGTTGGTATGTAAAACTGAATTCATTGCTTGAGAGAAGAGTGCCTTTCCCTTTTGGGACAGAGTAAGTCGTGTTAAAAACTGGAGTCAAACTTAATTTGTAGCAATTTTCTTTCTCCCGTATCCATTCAGATGGTCGTGGTAGACTCTGATTGATCGCTGAGTTTGCATTGTTTTGGGTCAAGTCCTTGATTGGTACAAGAAAGCTTGAGGGCTTAGGATGTCTGTTTGAAAGATCAGGTTGAATAAGAACCTGCTCCCGAAATGACACAAATTTTGCTTTGCTCATCCAAAGTCTTCCCAAGTCAGTAGTGCCGATGTACCCAATGCTCAGGACCTCCAGAGATACCTCTAGGATAATGGTTCGGAAAGCTTTCTGATAGAAATTGGGTCGACATCACTGAAAGTATTGGTGCAAGAATAGGAACAATCCACTATCAACAATAGCAACTGAAGAACATATGGCGCAATAAAGAAGTGACTTGTGCAAGATTCATTAGAAGGTATTGCGGGAGTGGTTGTTGGAGAGCCAGCATAATCTGTGCCGTGAGACTGTGGTCTTCAGTTCTACCTGCATTGATCGATAGTTAGAAGCTGTTTTCTAAAGCAAGATCACTGGAGAGTGATATGATTGGCCCAGCGATGCGTTCTCCAATGACTCCAAGAGCCATGAGCTTGTATCTACAGGGTTCTGTGTGGCCCGACATTTGCGAGGAAGCTGAGTTGGAGTTGAGGGTTGAAAAGAGACGACATAGGTGTCCTACTTAAGAGATAATTTATGTCTTTAAGAAGAGACATCGGTGTACACAGATCCGAAGAATCATTTGGTAATTGACAAGTATGTAGTCTGGGTCTTGATCGGTATCAAAATGTTTCGGCCGATTTAAGCGTGGAAAACAAGTTTGATGATGCAAGAAGCCACTGTAAGAATGGTAATAACATTTGAAATTAGAAGCAAGTTAGTAAACCAAAAAAGAAACACAAAACGCACCAGAGACATAGGTCAAATGAGACATGGTGGGGAAAAGATATGGCAGAGACAAACAGCCATAGCGGATAGAACTGCAGAAAGGTCTCCCATCCAATAACAGGCGGAATCAATGTTATGAATAAAATGCTGAAACAAGACTCATCTCCCTCCAATACAAGAGAAGGAATAGACACGAAATAGAAAGGGTAGAAAATGGGCCAAAAGAATAGGCAATGAAAAACACTGGCCAAGTTTATTTTGCCTAAGCATCACATGAAAGCCCATTGAGGTAGCTCAAGATAGCTGAGGTCTCGTCGGATCTGAGATCGACCGCAGCCTTGTTTACTTGCATAGAATAAAAATCATATCCGATATTGGGGCTGGTGTGGATAAATTAATCAGTGTCCATAACAGTGATGTTCGCAGACTGTAAAGGTATCCCCATGGTTGAAGAAGCTAGGTTGCCACCAGCAGTGTTTGGAGCAGAAGCTGGAGCATCTGGTGGTGGAGTAGCATAGCCACCAGAAGAGGGTGCATTGTAAGGAAACTTGCGGAAACCACGATGTTAACTGGTGAAATGAGCACTGTGCCTTTGGAGAACCTTCACAGTTGCGACAGTATTAAGCACCACCGTCATCACAGAAAATGGTTGTTTGGGCACATCGGGAATGTCCTTGGAGGCATGAGAAGCTTTTTAATAAGAGTTGGAGTTGGAGTTGTCAGCACTCAAACCGGTCCGGAGCACCTCGTTGGGACATCTGGATCTTTTATGATATCAGGAGCTCACCATCAAGCAAGGCGCCATTCCACGGAGGACGGTACTGGCAACTGGCTGACCCAACCTGTTTCGATCCTGGTAGACAGGCCAACTTTGCCTCAACGCTTTGTCAATGCTGCTGGAGGCTTGGCCTGAATACCCATGGACTCAGAGATGTTGGGTCAGTCATCAATTTTCTGGTTGATGAGACCCCGATAGAGGGCATCTAAGTCATTCAAAGTGTCGAGTGCTTCCAATTGTTGGTTCCCATAGTTGCTATCAAAACCGTTGATGTCACTCTTGAAAACAAGCTCATGGACTTTGTATCGAAAGTATGGACAACTACAGCCAAGGAGACCTCTTAGGGATGTGTTGGTTAGTTCATGCATGGGTTCACTGGACATAAAGTTTTATCGAATCTCTTTGATGACCTTGCTTGCATCGACAACAAACATGGAAACAGTCTCCCAAGGGATGGTGATCCAAGCTAAGCTGCCTGCTTGAAGGATTCAATATACATGAAGACAGGTACAACCTTAATTGTCGGCAGAAGACAAGAAAAGATTCTGGCCCATAATTGTGAGATTGGCACTATTGAGGGTAACAATCGATAATCGTCAATTCGTCTAGAGTGAGCGAGGATGCAAGAAGCTCAAGACACGCTATTCGACAAGTCGAAGCGAAGGTGGGTAGTATATCAAAACAAAGGACTAACTAGATGTGCGCTTTGAAGGAATGCCACTCCATGGCGAATCTTCACACGCTACCTCTGAACCAAGTGTGAGATTAGTGTAGTATGATTCAGTCACACATTAACAATTATTTCCTGTATTCACTATTACTCTGCGAAGCACTTTAGTCACAACAGATAGAACCATGATGACTAATCCTTAGTCTTGAAATATTAGGTTAATGTTATGCAGGCAGTCAAAAACAACCCTGGAAGACCCCTTCCTTTCCATTCTCTGTCATCATACTTTCTAAGGCGATAAGAGAGGCTGACACATGGGATCCAGAGGTATTGGACTCAGTCAAAGTGGAAAATAGTAGACTGGTGAAATCCTTCAGTTCTGTCTTTCTGACTCATACAACAGAGCACACTAGAGCGGCACGAAAACTCATCCATATTAAAGCGTAATGCTCCAGAAGGTCACCTGCTGTTCTCACCAGCCTTCCGCAATGAGCCACTCGGAGAAACTCATCGGCTAAGTACCGGTACCACTTTGGCAACTGTATTACGGTACACACGTATGGGTACCATTGATCCTCAAAGCTCCAAGCACCGAGTCGAGTCAAGTGACAATGTACTAGTATGGTACAGTATGTTGTATGGATGGTGCGGTGATCTAGCCATCACGCCTCACGTCATCTCGCATCAGGATCTGGATTCAGATGGTTGTCACATTGGCCTTTCTCCGGATTGGCGGCACATGTATCCTCATCGTCAGGAATCCTAGTACAGCACTAGCTAGCTAGTACTCGCAAGATGTGTCTGACGACTTTTGCATCATGGATGTTTCTGGCACTGTGTCGTTGTGAAGGGACCTACAGTGTTCCCAGCACTGAAGCAAGCGGAAGCGGCAACGAAATCCAAGAATTGGACTGCCTGATGAACAGGACAATGTCTTGCTGTAGATTAGACTGGCTGTACCGGTGCTTCCGTGCCAAGGTAATAACTGGCTAGGAAGATGCATTTATTGCAAAAGCACGGGAGTCCTGTTGGCTGCTTCTGGACAGAATGATGACCCCCAGAGAGTCTAGTGCAAAAGTTGCTATCTAGATACTCTGTCAGGTGGCACAGCTACATGTACATTATAACATAGCAACCGTCTTCCCCTGTGTCGGGCAAGCTTGATGGCGGCTAAGCTTCTGGCTCCTCCTCTGCAAAGTCAGCAAGATTCAGTGGCAACTGTCCACGCGAGCGATCCATGCGCCTTCTTCTCTGCTGTTGGGAAGAGCTCGGTCTGGCAAAGGTTGGATCCAGGAAGCTCACTGGCTTGGGTTGATTCCATTCCCGGCTATATTGTTCATTGGCCTCGTGGAGGGCTAGGCGTAGGAGGTCCAAGGCTGAATCCACCAATAAAGCAAAGATGCTGCATGTGTCGAGGCCTTACCGAGTAGGAGAGCAATCCAGACAAGGCTGGCTGAAACAGATGATTGCGCGGAGGTGGAAGGAGCAAGCCCAAGCCACTTGAAGGCCAAGTTTGGTCAACCGAGGAAGGAGCCCGTGGGAAGTGAACTGGCTTCCTGATGAATCAATCATTCTATTTACCAATGCACAGCAGCCCAAAGCCAATCAGTCAGCCACCTGGCCTTCTGGCTGTCCGTCCAAGAAGAGCACAGGATGGGCTGGATAGAAGAACAAAGCAAAGGCCAAGCGCAAGCTGTGAGACGTGCGCGCTTAGTCGATTTCTAAGCCAGTTAAGCGGCTTAAAACCAACTCGACTGCTCCAAAATCAGCTTCGGCGAAAGAAGACCGCCAAAACCAATTTTCGCGATGGTCCGCTTTTTCTCTGACTCCCCCTCCTTCTTCCACCCGAACGAGCTACTACACTGTAGCAAGCAAGCTAAAACCGTACTGCGAATTAGTAAGAGTCCAGTTCACCAACAATACTAGCCCAATCTAGCTTAGTAAGAGCCCAGTTCAGTTAGTAAGAGCCCAGTTCAGTTAGTTTGACCATGCTTCTGAGCCGCCGCAACAGCAGCAACATGGACCGACCGGACAATCTTTCGACAGCTGCCTCGAGTGACACGGGAAGCATCGCGAGTGGTAGCAGCACACCAGTCACACCTCGTTCCAACAAATGGACATTGAGTGGCAGCATGAAGAAACGAGCGTCTTGGATCAATCGAGACAGCAACAAGAATACTAATAGCCCTACCAATTCATCCAATATTGTGGAACAAGAAGAACCCAACGAACAGGAGAAAAACATTCTCAACACGATGCAACGGAATCATGAACAACACATTCAAGAGCTGCTGTCGCAACTGGCGGACTACGAAGGTCGAGATTTGGAACAATCGGAACATTTGCAACTATTGATTGGTCAGATTGAAGACATGTCGGCACAGCTCGATGCTCGAGAACAGGAACTCTCCCAAGAACGAGAGGCCCATCACAAGGCACAATTGGAAATGGAAGAATTGGCCGATTTGTGTCTCAAATCCGATGAACAGCAACAACTGTTACAGGAAGAGAATGATAAATTGAGACTGGATTTGGAGGGTCAACAATCATCATTTCAACAACAAAATCCACAAGAGGAATCCAAGGAGACATCCGAGGAGGCCACAAACGACAACGACAAAGACAGCAGCGAGGAAAAGGAGCAAGGGGTCGTCATGGGGCAAATGATGGAAATGTCCGTGCAGATTGAAGACTTGTCGGCACAGCTGGTGGCCAAAGATGTGGAACTTACTCGAGAGCGATCTTTCAATCGAAAGACACAAAGGGAAGTGGAGGAAATGACAGAGTTGTTTACCAAAGCCGAGGAACAGCAGAAACAATTGGAACAAGAGAATGAGCAACTGGTGGCCGAAGTGGAACAACTCAAGCAGCAAGAATCCGAGTTCAAAAATGAAAATGAGAATACTGGCCCAGCACCAGCAGTGGATGATGCCAAGCTCCAGGAGCTGGAAGAGCAGTTGGTATTGGCACAGCAAGATCATCAGTCAGCCATGAAGGAACACGACAGCAAATTGGCACAAGCGCGGGAAGATCATGCCAAAGATATCGAAGCGGCTGAAGCCAGGCACGCAGAGGAACTCAAGTCACTGCAACAAGAAGTGGAAGCATTAAAGCAACAGCAACTTGAACAACAAGCAGCTTCCAACAACGATACTGCTGACGCGGACAGTGAGCATGCGCTCATTATTCAAACACTGCAACAAGAACTTCAGAAATTACGGGAAGGACATGCCCAAGAAATGGACGAAATATTGGCGCAACTCGATCTTGTAGAAGAGGAACATGGACAACAGCTCGATCAAACCAAGCAGGAATCACACGTTATGGTCACGGCGCTGACTACGGAAGTCACCACCAAAACACAACAATGGCAGAACATGCAAGATCAGCTAATGCAAAGTCAACATCAGGAGCAGTCACTGGCACAGGAACTGGAACACACACGGAATCAGTTGCAACAGGTGGCCACCGATCTGCAAACTCTGCAACAGGATTTTAATACCAACCTTGAATCGGCCCGACAACAAGCCGCTGATCAAGCGCGACAAGAAACCATTGAACAGGCGGAATTGCAGTTTGACAATGCCAATCAAATGTACATGCAACTCAAAGAAAGCTACACGGATTTGGCAGAACAAAAGGCCATCATTGACGAGGAATTGGAGCATACGCAACGGGATTTGGAAGAATTGCAACATGTTACACAAGAGCAACAACAGGGATTTCAAGCACAGCTAGAACAGCTGCAACAGGGTACGTACCGCTTCTTTGTCGTCTTTGTCGTCGAAACATACATGATGTGTCTTTGCTAATGCCGTGTGACATTTCATATATGCATAGATTTTGACCAAGTCCAGGGGATTGCCGCGCAAGACAAGCATCATTTCCAAGTAGAATTGGAACGATTTCAACAGGTCCACGATGGACTTGTTGAACAACTACACCAAGCCCAAGAGTCGCATAACATGCTGGAGAAGACATTGGCTATGCTGGTCATGGAAAAGGAGTCCTTGTCGAAGGAAAATACGGAACTCAAAGGAGTTTGCGAAGAAACCATGGCATTGTTGGAAACCTACCAAGCCGGGGCGAACTAACGTAACGGGCTGGCTCTACCGGTAGCTGGCTTGCCACGAACATACAAGATCAGGGTTTGAAGGAAACCACTACTAACAACAAAACAGAAACAAACGAGGAAGAGACCAGAAAGTACACTACAACCACAAACTTAGTTGTGGCATCCTTGCAAATTCCACCAGAAAGGCTGCAGGTTTCAACGAATTGGACGTTCAGCGACAATACTGGTAGCCGCAACCAACAGGATCCACTTCACTAAGGGGAAATCCACAAACCTACTTCCTAGATCCCTACTCCAGACCCCCCTTTACACTTGCTAGCTAGTGTTGGTGTTTTGTTTGCTTGCTGGAGAATGCAACATTTCGGATGACCAACAAACACCCATAAACTAAACTAGACCTAGCTTGCTTATCCGTACTCGTATCTGTCTTCCAACTAACTGAACTTTGATTCTAGCTTGCAATTGAGTTGTGGCACACTGTAGAGGTATTGAAACAGAAAGAAAGATGCAGATGGACCCCCTGGTTTGGCTGAAATTCCCCGGACATTCACAGTGTGGTCTCTTGCGGCCTTCCTGCTTCCGCTTTGGCTACATGTACGCTGCCGGTACTAGCCAGTACCAGGTACTGGTACATGATCTCCTGCCGATACCGGTGAAGATCTTCCTGCTCCAAATCCAAGTTGGATTTTCAAACTGCCAATGCCATAGACGCTGCGGTTACGGCACTGCCCTGGCTGGTGTGTTCTCTCTATGTTTCACGGTTTCTTGTTTCAGGAGGCCCTGTCGCGTGTCCAAGTTCTGGACTTTCAAACGGCAGCAGCTTGCCAACGGTTTTGAATCCTTGGTGAGCGATTGAAAGCATTAATGCAAAGCACGGTTGACAGACATTGTTCCAGCAACTTTGTCATTTCTCTCCCAGCCAAGACCCCTGGCGATTGTACGCACCTGTTGCGTACACCAGTACCAAGGAGGTTAAAATATCTTTTCATCGGAAGATCCAACCTCATTTTTTTCGGGTAACATAATATTTTTCCCGCAAGGTTGCATTGTTATTACCTCCACATCCAACAATAAAAGGTTCACCATGGTGTCGTTCAAGAATATTACCGTTTTGTTGGCTGTCCTCCTTCAAGGCGTCAATGCTGCCGAAAATTTGAGAGGAGCCAGAATCTTGGCTGGAGAGCCAGCGCCACCGGAGCCTGATGCCGAAGACAATGACCCTCGAGCTGCCGAGCCCACTCTTGAACCTTTTGATGCCGAAGAGGAGCAAACTCCTGCTCCAGTCTTTTGTACTGCGGATGTTTATGAGTGCCCAGATGGCAGCTTTGTTGGAAGGGTCGCACCAGACTGTGAATTTGAGGCTTGTCCTGAAACTGAGGAGCCCGTAGAAGAGACGGAGGCCCCTGAGGACCCCCCAGCAGAGCCAGAACTAGTGGCTTGTACTCTAGAATTGGCAATTTGCCCAGATGGCAGTTCCGTCGGAAGGACCGGACCAGACTGTGAATTTGAGCCTTGTCCTGAGACTGATGCCCCCGCGACGGAAGATCCAGAGGTGGTGCCCGATGTCATGACGGATGCCCCGACAGAAGTTATTGAGCTTGAACTTGGTATGACAGATGCTCCAGAAGATCCAGAAGTTGGAACTGATGCCCCAACAGAAGTGTCTGTGGAAACCGAAGTTCCAGGAGAGAATGATTCTCGGGTTATTGAGACTCAACAGGAAGACACTGACGGGCCTGCACCAGAAGAAGAAACTTGGCTTCCTGGAACAGAATATCCAACCACGGAAGCACCTGGAACGGAGGCTCCCACCATGTAAAATGGGGAAGACGAAAAAGTAAGTTTGTTTCACCACAAAGCACCTGACAAGATGCCTGTCTGATGATACGATCTGCAAAAAAAAGGGTACTAGTATTGTTTTGGTTCAAGGTCTGCCAGTTTCATTGTGTCTTCCGCCCTTCCTGTGTAAAAAAACCAAACCTCCGCGTTTGGAGCTTTTGGGAGTGAGTGAGAAGCAGACTGAAACGAACATCATCTCGGATCAAATCATTTTGCAATTGGCTGATACTAGTTGGTTAGTCATAGTGTAGTAATGGTTTAATAAAGATCTCCATTGTTTTGTGTTACAAATTAATTGATCACTTCGTTTCGAGAAAGTGACGGCCTTGTCCTTTGGGATGCGAATTTGGAGCTTAGCCATCAGGCGAGGTCCTATCCATTCTCCATGTGTGTCCTCCGTGCATTCGCGAAACACATTTATTTTCGTCGATTTATTTAGTTGTACGAATCAAGATTTCATTCCTATCCACATACAGTGGTTCGGGCCAACCCACCAGATTCTGCCAAAACGCAATCACCGTACGTCAGGAAAACTCGTGAAAATCGCATATGATTGTTCTTTGATAGAATCTCGTGGGTTATCCTCGTGCATGTGGATCCACCAGGATTGATGTGGATCAACCAGGATTCGTTGGGTGACTGACGACTGACGTTTTCGGAAGCTCGGCTGGCTCTGAGCGAAATCCATTTCCACGAAAGCTGCGGTACGGCGAATTGAGAATGGGAAATCAATGGTTCGCCGTACCGCAGCTTTCGTGGAAATGGAGTGAAAGCAGGCCGATTTTAACAGTTAAATTGATTTCACGAACGAAGGGAGGAATAAAGAGGTCACAATCGATGGTTAGGACCGCGCCTCAGAGCGGACAAGACGCGAGCTGGATGCTCAAGTTCGTGTTTCAATCCAAGACTTCTGCATCCCACAACACCCTGGAGCGTTCCTCAATCGTGCATGACCTTTAAATCCGACCCCAATTTTAGGGTCGGTTTGGGGAAACCCGTCCCTCAATCCGACTCAATTAGGGTCGGTTTCGAAACCCGACCCTAAATCGAAATCCGTCCCTAAATTAGGGACGTTTTTTCAGAAACCGTCCCTATTTTTCAGAAACAGTCCCTATTTTTAGGGTCGGTTTTCAAACCCGACCCTAATATTGGTGTGTTTTCAATGTATTTACCATTCAGTCCCGTTTCTATTTAGGGACGTTTTTCAAACCCGACCCTAAAACGAAACCCGTCCCTAAATTAGGGACGTTTTTTCAGAAACCGTCCCTATTTTTCAGAAACCGTCCCTATTTTTAGGGTCGGTTTTCAAACCCGACCCTAAAGGGAACCCGTCCCTAAATCCGTCCCAAAAATAGGGTCGGTTTTTGTTAAGGCATGCACGATTGAGGAACGCTCCAGCAAAAGTTGTATGAATATGTAGATGCATGTAGCACGACGAGTACAAAAGAGTCTCAGGACTTTGTTGCTGGTCCTCCTTCAAGGTGTGGTACCGTGGTACCTGCTGCGAAAAGTTACTTGGGAGGAACCAGCATCTGGCTGCAGAGCCTCCAAATAATATTATATGATCACCAGCGGACCAGCCTGTGCGTTTGAACCCGGTCCAAAGACCGCGATCTGACTGACCAAAGTTAGACTAGTTGAACGGCGGTGGTCATGTTGGGACAAGTGACTCCATGTTTGATCCCAACGACAACCGCAACGGTGCATACATTCTTGGTTTCGGGGGGTTTAGTTTGGCAGCGAATGTATGTGTTTTTGTTTGGACGAGCTAGAGGTTGAAGAGGCTACACCCTGCAGTCAGCCCAGTGTTAACCTTTTTCTACCCGAGTGCATAGAGATTGAAAAAGGTCTAAATATAATAAAAATAGAAACAGTATGATAGGCTAGGCTAGGCTAGGCTGGCCCTGTCTCGGTTGGTTGCTGATGAAAGAATGGAATGGAAATGGCATTCACTTTTTGCAATCCTTCTTGTGGGTCTTCCAGTCGGATTTCTGGCAGTCGCGGCCACAATACCACACTTGTTTGCAGTTGCTGCACTTGCTGGACGCATTTTCGTCGCAGTTTCGACAGAGCATGGTGAGATCGCCCAGTGGATAAAATGTGTCGTCCGAAGGTCCTTCATCATCAAAGACAACTTGAAAGGAGGTTCCGGATTGTGCCGCACCCATTGCCAAGCTCCAGCCAGTAGTCCCCTTGCGACCCGACGCATTGACACGAACTCTGCCCCCTCGAGCCTTTCGGTCCCGTTTGTTGCCGATTTTTTCTTTTCGACGGTCCGAACAAGAGAGAGCCTTTTCTTCTAGTTCCGCAATTTGGTTCTGGCATGTTTGCATATTTGCTGCTCGATCGCCTGGGGTCTGTTCTTTGAGAGAGAAAATTGCACTATTGTATAGTTTCAGATCCTTGTCACTGAGGGCTTTTCCAACCCTCATCGACACACTTGCAAACTGCAAGGCGTCCAGCGGGGTAGGCGAATTTTCGCCGAGCCGACGCTTGTAGTCTTCTAGGTCACCCTGTGTCAACGTACCACCGTCCAACATCCCAGCCGGCATGGCCATGGGCGCCGCAAACATGATTTGGTCTGTTCTTGCTGCTGCTGTTGCTGCTGCTGCTGTTGTTGCTGCCGTTGTTGCTGCCGTTGTTGCTGCCGTTGTTGCTGCCGCGTTGTTGTTGATTTACTGTGGCAAGCTAATGAAGCACGCTGTGCAACAGAAAAGCGGCTTTTCGCATCAAAACCTGGATTGGATCTTCTCGTTTGGAGAACCGTTTTCTTCGATTCTTGTTTTTAAGGTTGGTGTTTACGAGTACATCGTACTCTTCTGACCGATGCGAAAACTGAAGACAGAATAACGATTGCTCTCCCTCCAAACACTCCAGCTCTCCGAAACACTGCGTTCGCTACGGTATTCGATACAATAGATTAACATCCATACAGCCAACAACATTAGACGAGCTGGATGCCGGATGTCATGATGAGTCAGTTCCGAGAAAAGTTGAAAAATAATGAACGGGTCCGAAGGATTTTGGGTCCCTCGATCCACTTTCTGCCTTTTTGGGCCCTCCTTCCGTCCGAAACATGTAGGAGTTCTGTGGCTCTGGCTTGCTAGCTAGTCCCAGAGTTTTTATCACTTCGGTATGCCATCATAGTTTAGAAATCATTGGGTCTTTTTCAGAAGGGGAAAAAAACAATGACGCAAGGACTTGATGCCAACAAACACAAACATTGGGGTGGGAGGGTCTTTGGGTTGTTGATGGGGTCTTTGATGCTGTCCTTGCATCAGGGAAAACTCGCTTAGCAGAGTCCCAAAGAATACTTGCTGCTACAAAGAAACAAACCATTCAACTGGATATTCTCAGTGTTGGATCCTCAGACCGAAGACATTTGTTTGAGGCGCAGACTCAAACGTTTGTCCGGCCCAACACTGGATACGTTCGGCATGTTCACTGGATCACTGAGGAAGACGATTCCGACCAGGCTTGTCGAGACGGCACATTGACCAGCGAGCATCGAAAGAAAGCATTCAAGTTTTGCAAAGAGCAATATCTCTGGAACAAGACTGCCACCACAACTGACTTTATGAGACGAAATGTTGGAGTAAAGAATGGAAGGCTCTTCCAAACAAAGGCCAGTCCCCAATGGCTGTGCGCACAAAAGCGCTTTCCGCTTGGACTTGCCAAAGTGTTGAAAGGCTTCCAGAATGACAACAACAACATATCGTTACCAGACTATTTGTTAACGGTCGACGATGATACATGGTTTGATATCGACAAGCTGGTCAACCATGTCCTGGTTTGGAGACACTCTTCAACCATGGCGCAGCAACAATACACAATCCAATGAGAACAACATGACAGAGCACACAATCAATCAGCCGGACCTAGATGACTGGGAAACCCAAGTCCAAAGTGCCCTCCACAACAACCTTGCCTTTGAGAAGGATCTCTTCCAACCAGGAATGAGTGTCACGGACCTAATGGAGTTGTACGCCAAGGCAGAACCATTTGACAATGTGGAACAGTGGACCAGAGGTTTTGCTTTCACAGCGACAACTTTTTGTCCTACTTTGTGGAATATTATAGGATTCGTGAGACTCAATACCTAGAAGCTCTAATCCCTCAAGTGTGGAGTCGTAGTGAATGGTTTACATACGAGGGTGTTTGGATGCACAGAGGAGACAGATGCCCAAAGGATTCCATGATTTGTCACTATGTGTTGCCCCATGAAATGCATGAGCTACAACGCAACAAGACTAGATAGAAACCCTGTACGTGGCTCTGATTCTTCATGGGGTAAACCTTTATAGAAGGGCTACAGATAAGTCATCCTACTATTCATAGAGGACAACATTTTGGTAGCCTTTCTGCAAATAGAACCAACCCTCCGCGGCTTCCGTAGATAACCCAACTTTCGCCGTTGAAATCATTGAAATCGTCAAGCCAGCACAGCGGATCCAACGTCCCTGTTGGCATCACTGAGTCAGTCATCAGCCATCACCCCATCACTCTTCTTCCACACCAACGAAGTTGGATGGATGGGATAGAGATGCGTGTTATTGCAGAATGCCAAGCATCAACGCTTACTCTCAACTTGATCCCACTTTGTATTTTCCATATATAGTATCAGATACTAGCTAGCACAAAGAAGAAAAAGCAGCAATAGCACCATGTTTGGCAAACTCTTTGGGCAACTGGCCGTGCCGTTTCTCCTGGCATCTACGGTCCGGCAAGAGAAACCATTTGCTCCCTCCTCCATACAAGAGATTCGCAGTTCCATGGACCAAATGTATCAAGATCTCGTGGATAATCCCGGCAATAGGACGCAACAAATCAGTCCAACCTTGCAATTCTCTTATGTATCCCCACCCATTAATGGCCAGAGCACGTGGAGGGGTAGCAGTAGTCGCCATGGCGAAACAACAGACGCCGACAACAATGACAGTGACAATAATAAGCCGATTGCGATTTATCTCCCGGGATTGGATGGAACGGGTATCACTGCCTTTACCCATCAGTTTGATGACTTGGCCAACACATTTGAATTGTGGCGATTGATCATTGATGTGACGGATCGATCCGAGTTTCGACAAATCCTGGAAGCTGTGGTTTCCTTCATTGATGAACAGTTTCTACAGCAACATCCTCAAGATAATCGTGAGATTGTCTTGATTGGAGAATCGTTTGGAGGTGTTCTGGCATCGGCAGTGGCCTTGAAGTTCCAAGCCAGGCAAGAACAACCACGCAAAATGGACGGCTTGGTTTTGGTCAATCCTGCCACCGCCTTTGAAGATACCAACTGGGATACCATTGTGCCCCTGTTGGCATCTCTGCAATATCTCAGCAATGACAATAATAGCAGTACTCCCACCCCCTATTCCTTGGCAGGAGGCATGGCCCTATCCTACTTGATCCCGGACAACAATCAGCTCCGTCGCATTGTCGACATTTTGGTCAATGCCGTGGGAATTCCACTCAACAATAATAACACTGGCAATGATGACGAGGAACCCATGCAAGATGCCATGTTGGGCATGTTGGAGATTTTGGAAGAACGATTGCCCGCTGGCACGTTGCAACATCGAGTCAATCAATGGCTGGTGGTCGGTACATCCTTGGTCAATGCTCGATTGCAAGACTTGCAAACTCCGACACTGGTCGTGGCAGGGGATCAAGATCGCATCATGCCGTCCGTCAAAGAGGTCGAACGTTTGACGAAAGTCATGCCGTCGTGCGAAAAACTCTTGGTACGAGGGCGAGGACACTTTGTGCTGGATGAAAATGTCAACTTGACCGAAGCCATTCTCTATTCCAAGATTGATCCGCTGCAGTGGAGAACCCACAATGATGATAATGACAAGACTACTCCTACTAGTCGTGGGGAAGCAACTACTCGTAGTAGAAGCAACAACAACAACAAAAAGCCATCTTACGATCCCATTATGGATTGGACTCTGCCACCGCAAAAGGAAGTGGATGCCGTCTTTGAGAGTCAAGTCAAGCCACTACGAAACATTCACAGTCCCGTCTTTCTCAGTACAGATGCCAATGGCAAACGATGGCGAGGACTGGCCAAGATCCCCTCACCAGCAAATCACGGGCCCATTCTCTTTGTGGCCAATCATCAATTCTGTAAGTTTGCTTTGTATTTCTAGTTTGGTCTTGTTCGGAGTGGACATTTGTGTGCCAAAATCACCATGCCCTGTTGTTGCTGTATCCACTCATCCATTTCCATCTTTTTCCGCCCATCCCCATTTCGTCATTGTTTTTATGTCTTTCTTCTGCAGTTGGACTGGATCTCAACCTGATCATTGCAGAACTCTTGGAAGAACGAAACCTGATATGCCGTGGTATGGCACATCCGTTTGTGTTTAATCAAACAAAGGAGTTCCCAGAACTACGAGGTCGCACTCCAGGGTTGCTTTCATCGAATGGTCCTGCCGGTGGCATTAACAGTTTTACCAACTTTCAAAAGTTTGGGGCCGTGCCCGTGACGCCTCGAAACTACTACAAACTGATGCAGTCGGGTCAAAATGCCTTGCTGTTCCCCGGTGGTGTCAAGGACGTGTGGCAAACAGATCCCAGCTATCCGCTGTTGTGGCCCGAAAAGACGGATTTTGTGCGAACGGCGGCTCGCTTCAATGCTACCATTGTCCCACTGAGTGCAGTAGGAATGTTGGAAAGTGCCCGTGTCGTGGTGAAAGATTTGCGAACAGTCCCCTTCTTGGGGGGGCGTATCCCCGAAGGAGGTGGAATGATGCCAGCCGCTCGATTTGATGCCCCGAAAGGCGAGATGGATCCTCTCCCGCCCGTGGCTCTCCCAGGTATGCCGCAGAGAAACTACTTTGTCTTTGGGAAACCCTTTAGCACTGGGAACATTGATCCCAAGGATAAGGAAGCATGCTCGGATCTGTACAAACAAGTAGTGGCGGAAACCAGGAGAGGGATTGACGACATTTTCCATGCCAGAAAGAAAGATCCCTTCTCCGACACACCATCGAGGATAGCCTACGAGCAGATCACCCGAAAGCAGGCTCCTACGTTTGGTCTGGACGTCGTGAATCGAGAGCGCCTGTAAACAAGTTCAGAACTGTGAAAATCTGGAATTCATCGCCTACCGGTAGCTAGCTACCATAGCTACCACAATAGTAGGATTGCAACTCTTGCATCTCGTACATCTCGTACATCTCGAACATCTCGTTTGCTTCCGGAATATCTAATATTTTATTTTGGATCGTCCAATTAAATTCCTTGCTGTGATTGAATTCGCTCATAAAGACAGACCTTCAGAGGAATGATCATGATCATTCCTTCCAAAATTGTATAACCAAGGGTCTTCCTATGCGGGAAATAGTTTGCTTCTTTCTGGATTTCAGGCCCTCTGGCTTTACAGTACTAGTTGGGACAACTTGGGAGGGCAGTATCTACAGGTAGTCTGAGGTAGATCAGTCAGTGCTGCTGATCTTCTTTCAAAAGCCAAACATCCAACTGTGCTACTACGGTTGCTAGTTTCTCAGTGCTAAGGGTCGAGCAGTTTTACGACAGGCTTGTGGATGGCTGGTTGCACTTGCCTTACTAGTAACTTCTTCGTCTGACAATGCTGGCACATAGGTTGACAAGTAGCCACACTTTCTACTAACCATTGATAAGTCTGTCCCGTCCTTGCAGCTGTGGAAATGTTTGGCAAGGGCTGACACTACTAGACCACATCTCATGTACTACTGTATGCATACATACATGTAGGGATCCGTTCTGTTTCCATTCCAAAAGTAAGTTACTTTGAATTCCCGCAATTACAATGCCACGGAACTGCTTGGAAGAATATAATACTTGGGATGTAGTCTTGTGTAATATTCAAATGGCCTATAAACTTAGTGCGTCTGTCAACAGTTATTATACTCAAGCAATACGTATTGAATTATGACCGTCATTGGTTAAAAAGATCGTCTTTCATCACCGTTGCTGCTTTGCCTGCTGCCGTTCGAAGCACAATCCTTTATCACAAATCACAACAACAGCCATTCAAGTTCATCATTCCCTCCAGCAACAGCAGCAGCAACAACAATGAGAAAGTCTAAATCGTACCCGCCGAAAACTATCCAGGAATTTGATGTCTGCATCATTGGTGCTGGACCTGCGGGACTTGCAGGTACGACAACCTCAGTTTTGGACTTGCTTTTGTTTGTGTTGTGCGATGAATACCAGTCTAACAGCAACCAACAACAGCTCTTTCTGCGATTCAGGAACCATACTCCTTGGATAACCTTACGCCAGATCAACTGCATCGTGCTGCCATTCACTTGCCGGAATGCACCGGTCGCTCGGTGGCGGTGGTAGACGCGCACCCACAGTGGATGCAGGGCTGGACCCAAAACTTTGCCGCTCTTGACATTCAGTTCCTTCGTTCCCCCACCATGGCCCATCCCGATTTATTCGACAAGAATGCCTTGTTGGCATTTGCCGAAGTTCATGGTCGCCAGGACGAATTGATTGAATCCGGTTGTGGTGATTTGCAATCCTTGATACCTCTTGGAGAAAGTCAGATTGGGTTGTGGAAGCTACCCTCTACGGCTTTGTTTCGAGACTTTTGTCAGGATTTGAGTCGTCGACTCAAGCATACTTACGTTCGTGGCCATGTGAGCAATATTGCCAAAGAAGCACAAGGCCCGTTGCTGGAGGTTTCCCTGGCAGGTGGCGGTTTGGTGAGGGCGGGTGCTGTCATTTTGGCACAAGGACAGGTTGGAACACCCATTGTACCACGAGCTCTTGCGGAGGCGCCCCGTGTGATCCCCTGGACTGCTCTGGGCAACGACGAGACCAGCAAGATGCTATCCTGTTGCCAGCACGTCTTGGTGGTCGGTGGTGGATTGACGGCCGTCCAAGCTGCGCAACGCATTGTGCGCGGTGACAACAATAGTAATACCAAGGTCACTCTCTGCAGCCGTCGTCCCTTGATCGAACGTCATTTTGACTTGTCCCTGGATTGGTTCGATCGTCGCACGGCCAACAAATGCATGAGTGACTTTTATCATCACCCCAATCCTCTCTCATTGCTGAAAACTAGCCGCGATGGAGGGAGTGTTCCCGGAATCTACATGAAAGAACTGCTTCAAATGGAGCAAACAGGACGACTGGTCCGCCTTGTGGGCAATGCTCGTTACGTGGGCAAAGCAGAACAAGGAGACCGGATGAAAATGGTCTTTGCTGGTGATGGTGACACAGCAACAAGAACGTGCAAGGAGGAATACTTTGATGTTATTGTCTTGGCCTGCGGCATCCAGCCGGATTGCGAATCGAATGCCTTGTGCCAAAAGCTCTTGCAGCAGTGGCCCGTGGACGTTTGTGGTGGCTTTCCCAGTGTCACGGAAGACTTGGAATGGGTGGGCGGCAGCAATGTGTACGTGTTGGGTGGTTTGGGGAGCCTTAATATAGGTCCGGATGCCGCCAATCTGATGGGCATGCGCCGTGGCGCTCAGCTAATCGCGAATGCTTTGGAGTGTCGATGCTGGCTCCGCACTACCAACGTGTTGAAGAATCGATTTGATGCATTCATGGAAGATACTTCGGACAGTGAGGAGGAGGAGGAGGACTAAGTAATGTATAAATGCGCACCCTGCAATAGCAAAATTGGATAGATAGTAACATTGACAGTGACAAAACGTTTGTTTCGATTCGGTCATACGGCAATATTGACCTACTGGTAGCCAGACCAAGCTGTCAGGATGCTTCCATTGTACTCTTCCAAACTGACGACAACAGAGTTGTAGGGAGGACTAGATAGATGTGCATAAGCTACTAGCCAGCATTCTTTTGTCATGTGTTCATGAGACCAAAGACAGACACCAACAAGACATGCCAAGGTGGGCTTGCCTTTACCAGCACAGGGAGAAGCTGAAGCAACAAAACAGTTGTAGTATCGTAGCCATCCAAAGCAACGGGTAGACATGATGCAAAATTTGACCGCAAGTTATGGACCGCTGGCCTACCATTGCTTTTTTGCAAGTAAGTAAGTTATTGCCAGGTGGATTGTGTCTTTCTTTCCATTTTGCACAGGGTCCTTTCATTTCTGCAGATTGTAGCATATTATTTCCCCAGCCAGCCAACTGTTTCTACATTGTTTTGTTTTGTTTTGCTTGTCATGTTCCTCTTTCTTGGAATTGCTACTTGTTGCATTTCTAGCTTGTTCGTTATACAAATTTCATTTTGGGTGTTTTGTTGACCGTCTTGAGTTGTTTTCGTAGCAGTTTGGCTTGTGCCGTATGGACCCGTCGATGCCACCCTGCCGCGGCCAGAATCACGGCCGTCAATGTGCCGCAGAAGACAACGCGGAGCCAATAGTGGAGGTGATGCGATAGATGATGCTCTGTACTGACCATCCACACAGACGCACAAACCACGTGTATTTCGAGCATCATGGTGAGGAGTGCCAAAAAGACAAAGAATGGTTCGGCCGCCAATCGTAACAGTGTGGGAATGTGTCCGTAGTAGAGACTGTACGCTTGAATCAGAAGGACGCCCACAGTGGCAAAGATGCGATGGGTCTGTAGCATTTCGGTAGTCGTTCGAATCATTACCGGCTGCGGCTCTTCGTCTTCGTCTGGTTCGACTGTGCTGGCGTAGATATCATCGTCGTAAGGATGTGGCGGTTGTGTCGCTTCTTTGCTGTTTGTTAGTGGATTGCCAAATTCCTGTACCAGCCACGACGTACACTGCAGAAGCAGCAATGCCGTCAACCACCCACCGTACTGTCGGTACTGAAACAACCGTGGATTGACCCAATAAAAGGACACCAAGCCGACAAGGGCAAAAATGTTGGCACTGTGACAAATGCGTTCCATCAATAGCACGTGATGATCTTGGAGCAACGGATCGTCTTCGTCATCAAAATCTTGTGGCTTTGTGTGAAACAACTCGGGCAGAAAATACCATGGCAGCCACACCAAGCTCTTGAGTGTACAAGAGGCAAAGAATATTGTTGGTTGAAGGGCGGATAGGTCCGACATGGTACTTCCAAAGGATACCGTAGTGGAACGATGGAGAGATTTTAATTATTGGGTCTGTTGAATAGTTGTTGTGGTGTCGTTGTGTTGTTTGTGTGTTGGGTTGCTTGCAAGGTCATGGTCATTGACACCGGTCATCCTTCGCAATGACTATTCGATTCGATTCAATCCAAAGATTAGACCAGATTCAATTCGAATCGACATTCGATTCATTCGATTCGATTCGATTCTTCTCGTGGGAGTTGTTTGTCGCCTCCTCGTTGCTCCTGTCCGCAGCTCTTTCCAGGTTTCCTTCGTTTGATTTGGGTCATCATACTGTATGTACTACTGTACCGACAGCCTTGCAGCTTCGTCCAGAATGATACTAGCAAGCACTACTGTAGTGCTTGCTAGCTAGCTGGGGGGCTAGAAGTGTACGGGCTTTGGGTTGTGTTTGCTTGTTGAGTGGTGCGGCGCTGGTGCAAATTATTCGGTAGGGTGTCAGGACCATGTGAATGCCAGTATGCTGTGGCAAGAAGGGTGTCCCATCGGCAAAATGAGCATAGCCAGTGGAGTATGCTTGTACCAAAATTATATAGGAAGACAACTTGACAGAGCCATGATCGACCAAAAAGCTGTCACTAGAGACCAGAGGAGCATAGATACCAGTCTTGTGAACTGAGTCAATCATAGTAACCTCAGCACCGTGTGGCTGAAGCTTGTCACCTACTCACAGAGAGCAGGTAGGAACAGGGTGTGACGTGCCTTGTCGATACAGGAGATGCTCCCGTGTGATCTCCAGTTGGCTGTTGCCTTCTGTCTCAATCACAAGAAACTCTGCCTCTCCATTGGGCAAGTAATGGCCAAAGGCATAGACATGTTGCTAGTTGCGACCCGAGGCGGATTCTACCAGCTAGCAAGAAAGCCAACCAGTCAGTGCGAAACCTCAGACCCTCAGATCTACCTCAGCCAGTCTGTTGAACGGTGGAGATGTAGTGCAGCAGAGTCGAGTCATTTGAAGAGAAGGAATTCTCAGCAGATGATGGCCGGCCGTGGCGGATAATCCTCGAATTGAGTCAAGTCTCTCTGCTCCCTGCCTGATGATGCTGGTACACTTCTACGGAGGAAATAGAAAAGTATTGAAGTTCTGGCGTCTCTGTCGTGGCCACTGGACACCTTCGCCAACAGCTCGAGTAGATTGCGTTGGAAATTCAGAAATTCCTGCAACTTTGTGAGCTGCTTGCTACCGTGTTGCACTACGCTAAAAGCTAGTGTAAAGATCTTTCGAGTGTTTTGTGTTTGAGAGAATGAAAGTTATGAGAGAGATTAGAAAGCTAGGAAAACTAATCAACGAGAGAGATCACCATCAAAGGATCGTAGATCTGGTCTCCCGCGGGAGACTATAAAGTGTGATAGAGTAGGTTGCGGTAGTAATCCTACGTATCTCCACGATCCTAAAACGGAACGCGTGGAAGATTCGTCTAGCATGGATCTAGTAGCGTGGAAGTGCTCCACACTGGCTAAATATCTAGAGCGATGTTTCATCATCAACCTAGTATGACTAGAGCGGTCATTGAGAACCCTGTCTCAATAACTATTCACGAGAGACTCAGTCATGAGTCGAACTCAAACCCTATCTAGGATCGAGTCGCGAATAAGGCTAAGAGCCGTGTATTGCATTCGCCCCCTGACAAGGGTCACAGAAGGCACGACAGCAGTCGGACAAGGAGAACATATGAATTAAAGTGCGGGGCACTCTCCGGAGATTGGATGTAGACTGTGCGTCGCACGATGGCAATCCTACAAGGGGATCAGGCCTTGTATGGGTGTAAATACCTTATGTTCAAGTTGGTAGACTGTGCCGCCATTGGCGGTAGCATGTCGGAGCCGTACAGTGCACATTGTTATTGACTCGGTTTTATATGTAAGGACCTTTGTACTTTGGCTGACCGTACTTGCGGTGTGATACTGTTGAAACCTCACAGTATCGTTACATTGTATTGATGAGGGACACGCGTCGCGTTTTCCTTATCATTGTTTTTCTGGATGAGTCGTTGGCGACGTTCTTTGATGTGTTTCCAGTTTACTTCGAAGGAGTTGTGAATCGGTCACGATTGAACGAGCGTGGAATTTGCGACGAAGTCCATATTCATCCGGAGAGTCTTCCGACTTCGCGCGGACTCACGTTCTCTATCCATATAACCTCAGCAGGCCATGGATACTGGGTGAGCCACGTTTGTTCTAGAACGATGGCTACTTCGTCTGCTGCATTGGAGCAGATCTCGGCATCTCGAACCATTCGGTTACGGATCAATCATTGTCAAGCAATGAAATGGACAGGGAATTCCTTTTCTTGGGATCCTCGACGTTATATGTACATGTGATCGTCTGATCCATATGTCTCGATTAGTAGTTTCACTAGTCCAATGAATCTACCAAGTTTCTTCCTTTCGTAGGAGGAGCGATATTCTGGATCGCATCTATTTTCTGGTTACGGGTTGGATTCCTTCTCAAGTAATCCAGTAGCCTAGATACTCAAGTTCTCTTCTTTCGAAGAAGGACTTGGTAGCATTGATCTTAAATCCGGCTTCTCGAGCCTTAGGAGAACTTCATCTAACTATTCAACGTGATCCCTAGATCGCCGTTAGTAGGATGAGTTGATCATCAATGTAGGCACGGACATTTTCCAAGTCGTCATGAGTGTTCCCATCTTCCTTTGGAAGATGTCGGGACTATTGCAAGGCCCATCGGTACTCGCTGGTACTCGTATTTCCTGAATCCGTCTAGATTCAGTGCATGTCTTGTATCCTTGGGATCGGACAAGGTTTTTGCTCAATCCTTTTGTTCAGTTCCCGGACGTCAGAGATGAACCGTTATAGATCCATTCTTTTTGGAATGATAAATGTTGGTGTCGTCCACTCGGAACGGTTTACCTTCTTAAGTGCTCCTGCGTCGCAGAGACGTTCGACCTCTGTCTTAAGATGTTGGTATGGACACGTGGAGTAGGATAGCCCTAGCGTGATAGGGTTTTACAAGCGTCCCTCCAGTCGTACAGGGTACGAAGTCTAA